ATCAACAAAAGTTCGGGTGAATCAACTCTAATGTCGAAAAATGACGGATTTTGAGTGCTAAGTTTAAGCAAGTTATTGTAAAAGCGACTTACCGTTTACTGCAGCTTGAAATCCTAACCTCCTCGTAATGTCCATATAAAGAATATTGATCCTTTCAAATTGATGATAATGCACAATTTGATCAATCAATAACTAGTACATTGTAATTAGCTATTATTTGTTAAATCCCTGTATTTCTTTAAAAAATCTCGCAATTTTAATAGCATTGTGCTTTGAATTCTATCAGGTATTTCTTCATTACGTCAAAACACAAGTGATGCATCTCATGAATATTTATGAGATTACGTCAAAAATTGATCTTGTGATCACATTCCTAAACAACGGAAGATGGAGTTTTACTTCCTAAACAAGTACTTTATTTTACGAAATCTTTTAATTCTCATTTAAAAAAAACTGTGTTTAAAAACCAGTTTTTTAAACCCAATTTTTCACAACGAACATGAAATGGGGTCAGTTTTGCTATTTGTGGCTTTTTTTTTTTGATTTTGTCGATTGCTTACACGATTGTATATATATTGTACACCGCTTTCGGCGGCACCTATTTTAGCGCCATATTTACAGGGACCAGTATACTAGAAGTGTTCCCACAATTCAATGCATATACCATTTCCTATTTCTATCGCAGAATCACACATATACCGTTTCCCCGCAATCACATATTTTTCATGCACTTTTTACATTGAACCTTCAATTTAATGCCAATTTCCTTCTATTTTATACTTGCTAAAATCTCATTAAATAAGAAAAGTTATATTAAATCTTATTAGAATATTACGTCATTATATTATTCACTCTAATTTTCAGCGAAACTTGTATTGTGCCATAAAAGTGCTTGCGGGGAAAATGTAATGTTATATTTCTATGATGAGAACCTTTTTATATACCGTAAAATGCCATTTTACTTATTTCAGTGAATTTTTAATTTTATGCTGTTGAGTGTTTTCAGACACACCCAGAAAACATAAACAGGGGTTCATAAATATGGTGGTCTGAGGTCCGGGACCTAAAGTTTATGGGGGCAGACTAGCTAATTGTTACCCTCTAATAGTCCGTGGAACTAGTAGTTTTGAGAAGAAAAAAATATTTTAATCCTGACCAGTGATTTTTAGGGCCGATTTGGGGCCCAAATTCGGCCCCCGTCCTTATTGAAAATATGCCTGTATTTTCCCAAAATGTAGTGGAAGTTTTCCCAAAGAAAAACTTACAAAATATGTGATCAAATGCAGTTTCTTTATTGCATGCTTTTCAGTAGAGTTCAAGCAGGTCTTGTTGTTCAGCCATGTTGGATTTTCTTCGTAATTATTAGGTAACTCGTACCACTACAGTATTGTTCTTGATGCAAGTAATTACATAATTCATACCAAGAATAGTCTTGATTTGTGATAATTGTTTAATTAAGTAATACACAGACAAAAACAAAGCTTTTTGACAATAAGTTTCAAGTGACTGGGTTTTCTGGGAGATTCTCATTTTAGCCTTATTGATGCTGAAATTCTGATTTCTGGGTGCCCAAGCCCCCAGTCCCAAAGTACTGAAGAAAACTCTGTAATCAAATTGATTAAAAATAGATTAAAATTGAGAATGCTTTTTTTTAAATTTTGGACTAGTAATTTAACAACACAGACTAGTGAAATTTATTATCTTAATAGTCCTTGGACCAGTGAATGTTCAGGGAAAATTTAAACCCCTGCCAGGGACCTATATACTAATATATAGGTTGCCCCTGCATAATACACAAAAAACAATTCATCCTAAAATAAAGCACCTTCCATCATTCAGTGTTTTACTATGCTTCCTATAATTCTAAGCAGCATGTCATACATGATATACTTTTTACATGGTACAGGTGTACCCTTTCTCTTGAAAATATAATTATAAAACAAGAGTCTTCATATTTTTTAGTAAATAAGTTATAATGATCATCATAGGGCAGTGGTCAAGTGTCTGCTCTAAAATTGCAGAATAAGGAGTTAATTCTTTCGCAGCGGGTTCCAAGCCCAATTTGTGCGATGTGGAGACTTGGGTCTTCTGATTAGATGGTATAAACTGAGGTCCCATGTTTCAGTTGGTGCTGGCACAAAAAGATCTCTCACCGTTCAGTTGCTATGAGTGCCGAACATAAGTAAAATTTTGCTGCTCTCCACTGGCAAGTGGTGGCCTCTTGATATTGTCATGAGTGAAAAATTCTCGATAGGGACCTTAAACAACAAACAATTTTTGCATAAGCATTGCTAGTCCTGATCTGCAATTGTAGTCTCCTTCCTATTAAAAATATTAAGAAGCTAGTAATTCCAACAAAACTCATCAAAACAGAACAACATTATGATGGTACACCAATTTGATTGAGAATGTAACTCATCAGTGTATGTAGGTTTATCAGATTCAAGGTAGAGTGCTAAGCCGCAAGGCATTCTCACTTGCCCCACTCTCTCCTGAAAGTACTCAAACCTCTCTGTTTTGAAGTTTAAAGGTTGCTTAGGGTGGATTTGATAAAAAAAAAAATATGGTTTTACGTCTGTAAGATTGTATGTTTATTTGGCCGACAACATTTGCCCTTGATACTGTTTGCCCTCATTTTTACTTCTGTACACTTCTAAGTCTGATTTAAACAATTTTAATTGCCCAGGTGTTATACATGTACATTATTTAATTGAAAGATGCTGCGTGTTCTGATTTTGAGCCCCACCCAAGAATCAATATTAATGCTGTCCTTTAAGATATTTGTGGAGTCCTGCAGAAATCAATACAGAGAGTCTGGTTGAGACTACCTGTAACTGGTCTTGGTAATTGTTTACAGGATATGTATTCGGGACATATAAATGTTATTACAGCACATTACAAAACACGTTTTCTAATTTCTAGAAAGTGCTATACCTATGTACATGAGTCCCACAATTTTTTTAATAAAATTACTTATTATCTTGTGTTGCTGATGCTGCGTGTTAATTAGAACCTTCATAGTCACCTGTTATTCACAGTAATTTTGCTTTGTCATTAAGTCAGAAGGATGTAGAAATCATAGTCATGGCTTCATTACAGATTCAATGAAGAGCTTTTTTGACATACAAGATGAATTAATGCAGCTTTTGTGAGGATTTTTGTGCGGATTCTTATGGCAGTTTAATGCTGCTGTGTGGTAAAAAATAAGGCTAAAGCTGCAGTTAGAGGATTCATTTAAACATTGTTAGAAAGGAGGTGCTTGACTTGGGTAATTTTTATTGGTCTTTGGGCCATTTGTTTTTAAATATGAATATTAGAATATGAAAAGCAAAGTTGCTCACAAAGGGCAGATTATATGATGATTAGGGATGTTAACGAATATTCGAATACTCATTCGATGAGCTGATATTCGAATATAAATTTGTGATTCGAATATTCGTTTTTAAGTATACAAGCATTATGAAGAGAGAAACCTGGCAAGTTTTATTAGAAATTGAATCAAGTTTGTACAAAATAAAAAAAAACACTCCTCTTGGATTATCTTAAAGGTGTGAAGAGTGTATCTATTAGAGTAATTTATTTATTTGTTCACTTAATTAGTGGTATAATAGTTTCCAGTACAAACAATCAGCCTGTATTGCTGTAAGGACCCAGTTTTACAGTAAACACACGTATTTCTTGTTTATGTAAATATCATTAAAAATCATTATCAGGATATTATGATTAGCAAGAGGTAATTGCTTTTAATATTTCGCTATTAGATAATTGTTCTGTTTGGTATAAATTTGTAGGAGTTATCAGTGTAGACTTTCGTAAGACGATCAATATAATCTAGAACATATTTAAGAATCTTTTGAATTTTCAAAAATCAATCATTACATTTTGAATGTATACTACTCAATAATTTTTAAAATATACATATATAATTGTAGTGCATTTTCAAAACTCTGCACGAGTTTTTAATCTAAAATAATGGCATAAAACCTATACTGCTTGACAGGAGAGTGAAGATATATATTTAATAATGCAAGATGTATTTATTTTATCGAATATTCAAATATATTCGAATACTCCTATCAAATATTTGAATATTAATTATTGACAATTTTGACATCCCTAATGATGATACATTGAATTTTTTTTGGTTTGCTTTTATTGTAGCATGTATCAGCACCACTTTACTAGTATAGTAAAGCAAAAGGAAAATCAGGCTAGTTTTCATTTTCAGAATTTTTAGAATGATCATCCAACCACTTTCAAAAGTCAAACTAAAATTAACTGTCCACAGACAAACAAGCCAGCAATTTTTACAATGCTTGTATTTAGATTTTGCTGATGATTTGTCTTTGTTACAGGTTTGTTGATGGTTGACTTTGTTGATAGTTTGACTTTGTTTCAGGTTTGTTGACAGTTTGTCTTTGTTTCAGGTTTGTAGATATGCTGATGTCTTTGTTACAGGTTTGTTGAGTGGCTGATGTCTTTGTTACAGGTTTGTTGAGTGGCTGATGTCTTTGTTACAGGTTTGTTTAGTGGCTGAAGTCTTTGTTACAGGTTTGTTGATTGGCTGAAGTCTTTGTTACAGGCTTGTTGAGTGGCTGATGTCTTTGTTACAGGTTTGTTGAGTGGCTGATGTCTTTGTTACAGGTTTGTTGAGTGGCTGATGTCTTTGTTACAGGTTTGTTGATTTGCTGAAGTCTTTGTTACAGGTTTGTTGATTGGCTGATGTCTTTGTTACAGGTTTGTAGATTTGCTGATGTCTTTGTTACAGGTTTGTTGATTGGCTGATGGTTTGTCTCTGTTACAGGTTTGTAGAGTTGCTGATGTCTCTGTTACAGGTTTGTAGATTTGCTGATGTCTTTGTTACAGGTTTGTTGATTGGCTGATGTCTTTGTTACAGGTTTGTTGATTGGCTGATGGTTTGTCTCTGTTACAGGTTTGTAGATTTGCTGATGTCTTTGTTACAGGTTTGTTGATTGGCTGATGGTTTGTCTCTATTACAGGTTTGTTGATGGTGGAGGTGAGAAATCAGAATGGAGGAATGCTTCAACACTGATTCTACCTATGGATCTTTAAGTGGGTAAGTCTTTTTTTATTTGGATCACAGTCCATTGGTCATGCTTCAATGTTAGAACATTTCTACTCTCTGGTCTAGGGGTATAACTATAGAGATCTGTCATGGGCAACCATCCATTCCATGTATTGATATATCTGTAGATATTTGACAGATGCATACAACTATTCATTCCATGTAGTGAAAAGTAGAAATTTGTCAGGGGAAACTTATTATTTCATGTAGAGATCAAGTGTAACTATTGTAAAATCACATATTTTTGTGGGTTCAAATTTTCGTGGTTTGAGGAAAATCCGTTGGTTTGTAGGGAATTGATTTCATGGATCAAGAAGTAATGAGTACCAAGTCGGTTTGTAGGGAATTGATTTCATGGATCAAGAAGTAATAAGTACCAAGTCTTATGTATGTAACATTTTACATTTCATGGTGGACATGAATTTGTGGGTATCATCATACCTCGAAAACATTTTGTTATTTTTTAAAATGGCACCTCAGGTTACTAAGTATATTGATGGCCCATTCATTTTCAAAATTGCGCATTGAAAATTTTAAAAATTGCGCATTAAAAATGTTGACAGTTGCACCATAGTCCCATTTAACCTTTTTGTCCTTCCCAATCACTGATTATTGAGAATTTACATAAACATGATAAAGAAGTTTATGATATTGTAGTTTATTTGGGACCTAGAGATTCAAGTGAGTATAAAACATAATTTATTTTATTAACATGCTTTGCTGCTTTGCAAAGTTTTGAGGCGAAGGCACCTCTTGTAATTTGTTACGTGATATGGATAGATAGATTTTTTTATTTTGATAATAGATTATTATTATAATTTTCCTCTTGCACATTTAGTAATAAGGTATGAGATATACATATAGCCTGAAGCATGCAACTATCCCTAAAGAATGACACTGCAGTGTAGCTTATCAGGTGTTCAGTTCTCAGCTCTTTTAGTGATCTAAAAATTAAGCTGAAAGCTCAAGCTTAAGTGATCTAAATGTTAAGCTAAAAGCTCAACATTCTCAAGTGATCTAAATATTGAGCTGAAACTGAAAGCTCAAGTGAGCTTTTCTGATCACAAATTGTCCAACATTCACCCATTATTCTGTCTGTTAACTTTTCACATTTTTGATTTCTTCCTAGACTACATTGGGCCAATATTAACTAAAGTTGGCGCAGAGCATCCTTGTTCAACTTGAAAGGTTCTGGAGAAAGTGTTCAAATCTTGGCCCAGAGATTGGGTGAGGCCCACTAAGGAGCCAGAGCTTAATTATGCACGTGCATAAGGACCTTAGATTTGTATAATTACAAAACTTAACAAATTTATGGTTTATTGATAGTTCTCTTAGTACATTCAACTAAATTGGCAACCTCTTGTCGGATGGTCTGCACTGATAGCATCTTTCATTATTACCGGTTGGTTAGGGTTGAAACAATACGCTTCCTTCACTGTTCGATATGTATCGCAAAATTTGGTCTTGGTGCGGTTATTTTCGATACGATACATTTTGATAGCAAAAAACAAATTCAACCGTGGTTTTATGCTTCCTTTTACTTAATCTAGTGATCAGAAATAATTTACGTGCAAAATGGCTAGAAGAAATCAGTTTTAGGACCCTCTCTACACCAGTGCAAATTTTATTTGGACATTGAGAAAAATATATTGTATAAAGGAGTTAATACTTAGCTTATTTTCTATTTTTTAATTTAATTTCTATTTAATTTTCACTGTATGGTGTGTGGCATTTACCCCTGGGAAAAATGTTCAAAGACAACACAGTATCCATGAATAGAAATCACTGCTGTTGTTTACTTCCATGTAGACAATACATTTAAAAAACATGTTCCATTGATTTATCTTGGCATTTTAAAATGTTAACAATACTTGAATTAATTACAAATTGAGTAATATACTGTAAATTTCTATTTTTTTTTATAAGTTAGATCTAAGGGCAGATCACTCTAACTGCAGAAAAACACCATAGAATCAGAACTCTTTAGTGTGCAGTGTAGAGAGGGTTCTTAATTGCTTTGACTGTTAAAAATTATTTTAAAAACTATTTGTCCACAAAAATTTACGTTTTTTGTACTAATTATACGTAGGAGCATGTTTATACCTCATGCCAAACCTGACTGAATGACGATCCCGACAGAAAAATGAACTGAACCGAAAATGGAGACTGTACTGTGTATCAAACCAAAAAAAAATATTGCGGTGTATCGTTTCACTCTTATTGGTCAGTATGTTTTAATATCTCTTCCCATTTTAGAAGTTTAAGAAACTGCTAAAAATGCATTGAAATTTTGAAAACATTGACAAAATAGACAGGATTTTAAAATTTGATTATTTTTACACCTTCCCAATTGATTTAATTATAATTTGAATGCTCTCTTGTATTCTCCGATAAAAGCCTGATCTTTGGGTTGTGTGCTGTTGGACCATTCCATGTTCTTATTCAGGAATAAAAAAAAAATTAATATGAAGACAATTATGATAAATGGAACATTTTCAGCACAGTATGCACATTACATAGACAAAGCTCATATTTATGTGCAGTAAAGCTAATTCCATGCTCTATGTATGCAGTATTCCAAACTCATTTAGTTGCATGCTTCAGTGTCTGTAGAACTCTCATTGATTACGAAGGTATCAAGTCTTTAGACAAGTGTTAGGAATTAAATTTGCATTAATAAGTGGGGGGGGGGGGGGTTGAGAATAGAGAGGTTCAGCATTTGACAGTGTACGTCTATGTGTAAACCTAGAAGTGTGTTAACAAGTACACCTAAATAACATTGTGCTCTGTTTATTAACAAACTGAATGTGTACGGGTACATGTAAAACATTTTGGAATTAAACTTTTTGTTGGATAAAAATTTAAATAAATGAGTCAAAGTAAGAATTTCTTTTCTGTAATTGTAAATTGAAATGGCACAAAATTTAATGTTGCTAGCTTCTCTGGAGGAGGACTATGACCTTTTGTTGTTAGCAAGTGTGAGCCAAGCAAAAAATTCATCAGTTGTATGAAAATTAGAAATTGATGAATTAAACAATGAGCAGGTCTGTAATTATTTAGATTTAAAAGGGAAAATATGAATAGTTTGTGTGAAGAGTTAGATTTACCAACATAACCAAGCAAGATTCGATGAAATGGCGTCATTTCAGTAAGTCACTTTACAATCCATTTTTATCAAATAATTCTCTGACTTTGATCATGTTGATGAAAAATATACCTAGATGTACGTAATTATTTCTCAACATCACAACAAATACAATTTCTGTAAGGCCATCTTGAAAGAAATGTTTGATTGGAATTGCTGCCTGGGAGTTTTTAGACCCAGGATGGAGGGAGGGATTTTTTTTTTTTTTTTTTTTTTTTTACAAAATTGTACTTGTATAAAAACTTCAATGAACAGTGGTGTGATTTTCAGATCACTTTTCTTTAAATTTTAAAATAAATATATACACAGGGGTACTCAAAGATCAATCTAATTATAATTCAATGTTGGATCTGATCATTTATTCAAAGTCAAATTACAGCATCAAACTTCAAAGTTTTTTTTGAATATTCATAAAAAGATAATTTTATCTGTTTATTTCATAAGATTTCTCCTTGGAATTTCTAGCCCTCATCATGTTTGTCAAGACAATCCATACTAACAGTAAGAGCCACACGAAAATTCTTTAGAATGTTGGACTTTTTACAGTGTTTCATGGAAAATAAGGAGGGGTGCTTCATCTAGCATCCTTGCCAGTTATTGAATCAATTTTATTATAACATTATGTTTCAAAGATTTGTCAGACTGACAACTTCTTTCTATTATCGATATCAGGATAACACATTTCTGATCCCTGTAATTTAGATGATAACTGAACTCAACGATCATTTTTAATTTTAAGGTCAACATAACGGACCTGCCCAGTTCAATTTTCAAACTCGGTCTGACATTTTGGCAGCTTTCATTTTTCTGAGGATCTTCTAACCGCTATATCATAAATACAATGTACTATGAAGAAAGCGTTTAGGCCATAATAAAAAAATTTTTAGATTCTCATCCGAATTTTTTGAAAAATCGAGGTAGGTGGGCGGCTTTTATTTTATTTTTTTCCATTTTGCAGAATTTTTATTTACCTGTTCATTCGGTGCAGATTTATCTATAATACCCGAATAAAAGTCATGGTAGAGGTCCATTTATCTCTCACTACACATCATCACCAATCTTTCAGAACCAATGAATCAGTTTAACATATATATTATAGCAATTACCATCTTTTCAGCTGTCAAAATCATGCCGACATTCAAGGAATTTAAAACGAAAGTTGAATGGTAGTTGAATATTGATCCCGATCAGAATTAAGACGAAGAAAAACAGAAATTAAAAAAATCGAGGCGGGAGTAAAAAATCGGGGTGGGCAGGGATGAGAATCTAGGAATGTATTTACTGTGGCCTTAACTGACCATCACCAGTGTTGTTAAATCAATGTGGACCTCAAACCCAATTTTATAAAGCTAATTTGATGAACGAACTTGTAATAAACATTGTTAGATGAAAAAACAGTACTTAAAAAAAAAAAATCTTCAATATTTTGCTAAAAAAAATTTATCAGCGGGGAGGGGCAATTCCAAACAAACATTTTTTTTTAAATTTTAGCCTAATTTTAGTGTAAGAAATTTTATACCACTGTGTACTTATAAATCCACACACGTTCAACTTGTTGCTACCACTGTAAGGCACAGCCACAGGGAATTCTCCTAGCAACACATAGACGCACATGGTCATTTGCATGACCTCTCTATTTTACTTATATATTAAATGATATTTATTAAGTGGCTTATGCTTCATCATAAATGCTTTACTAAAACCAGAAATGTGGACGGGGCTGTGCATTAGCACCAAACTCTGCTTTTTTTTGCTCATTTTTAGACGTTATTGAACTTGATTTGATTTTAGATTCAAATATTACCTGGTATAAAAGTCTCAGGTTTGGATATTTGTCTTTGATTTTAACCAGTTTAATAAAAATGCTTTGATGGTTGTTTTACTCCAGACTTGTATGGTTACATTAGAATTCTTATAGTAATAAAGACTTTAATTATAGTTTCTCAGCCAAGTATGACGAGTCAAAGTACACCGTCAAAAACTCAGAATTGTAGTGAAATACACAGCAGTATTTTAAACTATTTATCTATATAGCAAGAACTTGTTTCACATTATCACATATCCACATTAAACACATATGAAAAAACATAGTCTTAGATCCATATTTTATTTCATATGTGTAAAAAAAAGGAAAGAGTTTTTGAAATCTTTCGGTTCTGTTGGCAAGACCGATAAAAACGCACAGGACCGATTACTTTAGTTTCTGTGTCAGTCCAAATGACCGGTATGTAAAATGTATTGAAAATAAAATTTAAAAACAGTTTACATATTTTTATTGATTTTTTTTTTTGACTGATAGAGATCTGTCTGGACTGACAAACTTCACATGGCAGTCAGTCCAAGTGACTGACAGCGGAAAAAGATTTCAAGAACTCTGAAAATATTACAATTTCTAATGATAAATTAAATTTTTAATTATAGCTTTGTCCAAATAACAGAACAAGCTTGTGTATGTTTAGGAATTGAATAACAGTTGTGGAAAATTTACTTGATTTCAAGAAGGTTAACAAAGTGCTAAACTAAGAAAATGCTATAAGTAGAACACAGGCTGTATTAGATTGGAAACAGCCATTGTTAGAAGTGATAGTGTGTATCTCTTCACTTTGACATTTCATTAATAAACAAGTTTTAAGGAAGGTTAGAATGAGAGTGAGATCATTCCCCCTGAGTTCTAGTGAGTGTATTGATTTAAAAGATTCAGTTAAGAAGGAGCTTTCTAGAGATTCTCATGGGCTGAGAATGGTGGGTGTATAATAAACCCTGTTTAGATTTGGTACGATATTTCTGTGATGACGTGGTCGCAGGAACCGGTGGTCTTCCTCTCAGGGATATACACAGAAAGGTTGACGTGTTGTTGTTTGTAGCTTCATTTTAATTTCCTATGGATGTCGACAACTGAGACAGGAATGATAGTGTTGAGATTTTGTTGTAGAATGCAAGACAGTAGTAGCAGCTTCAGTATGTCGCTGAGTGGCAGTGACACATTCGAGGACCAGCCCTCAACCAGTGGCTGCAGGTAACGATCATTTATAGACAGATTACAATCATTTATAGACAGATGACCATGATAACAATTCTCATTTTAAAAAAATACAGCAAAGTTATTTTAATCATCTTAATATTACTAGAAATCACATAACTTTGTATGTTCAGTATTTCATTATGTTGAAATGTGACCATAACACTGTTATTATGTTTACAGTAGTGAAATGACACACAAAGAGAAGCGTAAAGCTCGAGTCAAACAGTATCTACGTCAGCTTAAAGCTATGGTTCCCCCAGCGTCCGGAAGGAAAGGGAAGATGGGGACGTTAGGAGCTCTGGAGCATGTCATTGGGAGTCTCCAAAAAATCCAAGGTAGTCTTCAGTAGAAAGTCACAGAGTAATTCAAAATATTGGCTTTCTCAGGACTATACATTAACTTTTTTTTCTACTTAGTACTTTTCCATTCAGACAAGTGACCAAGACATTTACCTGTCCGAACTTCAACTTTACTTATCTGAAAATTTTTTAATTTTGAGTGATTCATGATATTATTTATAAATACAACAAACACATTGACTGAAAGGATGATGTGACATAACTGCTATCTGGGGCCCCTTTTTCCACGACGAATGATATTAAATCTACAACGATGTTGGTAGTTTTCAAACATAAGTGAATAAATACGACACCTTTTGAATAGTTTCAATAGTTCAGACACATTTTAATTACAAGGAATGCGGCATTATCTTTGATTTTTTAGACCCTATCACAGCTAAATTCGGCCAGGTTTGAGTGAAAATTTTCTTTTATGGCAAGAGAATGGGCGGGTCTTAGTACAATAGAGGGATACGCGTGTCTGAGAAGACCTTATATGGCTTTTGTTATTATTTCGCACTTAGTCATTGTCCAATCCGATGACAGAACAACAAAGCATGCTTGTTTACTACGTTTACATTTTATCGCAGACACGTGGTTTAGTTCAATTGACCTGTTATCCTTTTCTACATTTCAAACTTTTATAAAGGTCAGCCAATGCTATTTATGCATGTACTTTATATTACGCATGGATTTTCAGCATTTTATACGGTTTTTAGGACAAGAAATGCACATGAAACTTGTATTCACCGATACTCGGGAATACGTGTAGACCTAGCGAATTGCTGACCAAACACGCTACAAAACTTTAAAATAATGCATATTCTATTAATTGTTTGTAACTGTATATAAATTTTACTGTGGTCTCGGAAATGGAACATATGTATATCCGTGTCTAATCTGTGACTCAAATGCATAAAAAAATATCGGAAAGCAGTAAAATTCCAATCATGTTTCCATAGTATTTTTGTGGTACTCACTCGTAAGGAATTTCATTTAGCTGATTGGTCAGTTAGAAAGTATCGCCTGTGCCTCGATTAGCATATGAATATTCATTCTTACGTCAGAAAATCTAGTTCCGTCGATCTATTTACAATGGGAAAGGCCAACTAGATTTTACACTTTTTTAAAAATTAGCATGTGAGCGCAGTTGAGTACAATTTTCTCCTTTCACATATAGGTAGATTTCAATAAAATACAGTGACCATCCAAAGGAGAAAATTGTACCTTCCTGCGCTTGTATATTTTAAGGGCTTGCAAGAGTGGGGCGGGGTTAAAATGCAATGGGAACTGGATGTAAACATGATACCCATACCCCAATAAAAGATCTATATCTTTCAAATCACGTCTCTATTTTTGTTAAAAATAGTATTCTATAAAGGCACACATATCAGTGATTAGTTACATACAAAAATTTGAGTAAATGTTATACATTTAATTTTTTGTCAGTATACGAGGGGCCGCAAGTCACCTCATCCTTTTATCTAGGCTTTCTCACCATAAATGTTTACAACTAAACCTGTCAACGTCAAACAGACTCCAAACTTGGTAAAGTCCATGCATTTCCAGTAGTATGCAATTAGTGAAATTTAAACCCGATCGAATGTGAACTCAGTTAATAGCAATCCCTATTGGCATCGAAGTCTGGTTTTATGTACAGCTTCCCTCTTGAAACTACCGATTAACTTTCAACAGTCTTTTTTTTATTATTTAGAGACTCCTTTACATTAAAATACACTTGTCCAATTGGATATTCACTGCAATTTTTTTTCACTGGTATCGGACAAGTGTTAATGTCAAGCTCTGCATCTACAAATAAGGATACTGTATACCATATACAACACTAAAACAAAATCAAACTTAAACAAGCAGAACAAAACAAGATCACTAAGCAAAAGGAATTGTCTTGTTTGTAATAAAATCAGATATCATAGGATGAGAGGTATTTGTAAATATTCTGAAGATATGTTTGATGAAATGTAAGATGTTTACTAGGTGTTTTCTTGATATTATTGAAAATGTCAAGAAATATTTTCATTACCGGTAATTTGGTATCAACATGATCAAGAAATAATTCAGCCAGAAGGAACTTGCTTTTAAAAATACATGATGTGATTTACAAATGACATCATAATAGCCTTAGTTAATAGCCTTATTCTAGAAATAAAATTTTAATTCACATTAATTCATGTAGCTTTAGTTGTCCTGTGAATGCAATTTAATTTGCATTATTTTAATCCACATTAATTTACTGCAAATTAAACTCTTCATGTGATGGTGTATGACAATTATGTGGTCTAATCTATACCTACACCCTAGGATGGAAAAATTCACTGAAGTTTTTTGTATCAAGGTTGACATGGCTTTCTTCCCTCCATACTCTTAGGGGGTACACTTTATTGTTACCTTGACCTTCCCAAAGACCTATGATTTTACTATTGTGTATCAAACTCAGTTTTAAAGAATCTATTCAAGACATTTTTTCAGGCATTAATTTAAATTTTCATGTTGCATATTTATGAACCCAGGACAGAGCATTTTTATCATATGGACAATTTTATAGTTAAATAATACCATATATTCTTTATTTTTCAGAGGAGAAAGATAAAAGTAATTTTTCTAATAGTGATGCACTAATAGAAGAACTGGACAATTCTCTCTTTGACAAAGATAACCAATTGAACACACAGGTCCTAAGATCTGAGGTAAGAAAGGTCAAAAGTCACTAAATCAAACTCGACACATAATTTGATTGGATAAAAGATTTGTTTTATATTGTATAACATAAGTTGCCTAAGTCACAGTGAGTTACATTAAAAAACTTATTACTCTATTTGACGTTACTTTTAAAATATGCTTATTTTAAAACCATTTTTTGGAGGAAAACTTTTTTTGTTTACACTGAAATTAAATTATAAGGAATGAAGCTTATTTTAACCCATGTTATACAATATAACTTGGGGCAGTTAAGGCTTTATAAATCGCTTTTTTTTTAACTGATTCACAGTTTATGCTTTTTTAGCTCACCTCAACGAAGTTGGGGGGAGCTTATGTAATACTGTTGGCGTCCCAGGTTAAGGTTAAGGTGAAGTTTTTTTGGAGCAGTTTTCTTTTTAAGTACTATGTCCTATATTGATTAGACATGCATGGAAGATGCTTCTAGTGTGTTTCATTGTACCAGTCAAATTTTCAGATGCTGCAATTTCAGCAAAGGAATGACCAGGTTAATGTTTTTAGAGCAGGTTAACATTTTTGGTGCAGTTTTTGGTGTAGGTCTCATTTCCAAGTAACTATAAGCCCTATGTTGACCAAACTTGCATGGATGATACATCTAAGGATGCACACTACCAGGCTTGCTTCAGATGCTGAATCTGACCTACATTTTCGCATGAGTATACAGGTTAATGTTTTTGGTGCAGGTCTCATTTCCAAGTTACTATGAGCACTATAATGACCAAACTTGCATTGATGATACATCTAAGGATGCATACTCTAGTGAGCTCAGCAGATTTGGAGACGTGCCAAAGCCATTGTTAACCAATTAAAGTTTAATCATAAATTTAGTTTCTTCTTTATCTCTGTAATTTTTTTTTTTATATTTATTTCATACTTTGTTTAATAAATTAATTAAATAAATAAAAGGTTACATTTAATCTTATGCATGTATGGTGTACACAGGTACACGTAATGTGTAATTTCGTTTGCAAATAAACTGCGTGAATGAACAGCTTGGGTAACAAACATAATTTTGACAAAATTTGAACTTCACTACAAACGTTTTGACAGCAGGGGTAGTGGCTTTGACTACCCCTCAGTTGTTAGCAAAAATACAAATCGATAATTGCTGAACTGCTAATTGAACTCTGTTCAGTAATTTAAAAATTCAAATTCATTTTGACAGATTGCTTGTGTGTTTACTTTGACCTTTTCATTTAAATAAAAAATATTGCTGTTTATTCAGAAATAACTTTGAATTGAATACAAAGATATTGAATTTCTTACGAACACATTATCTAGACAGAAAGGAAGTGCATTCCGTTGTGAAACGATTATGGTAAGAATACTGTGAAATTCTGTTTTGAATGATGTTTACTCTTACCTTTTTATTTAAATAAAATGAATAAATAATCAAAATTTGGGTTGTTGTTTATGTGAAATGACTATGAATACAAAGACATTGAAATTTTCACGTACATGTTAAAGAAAATGGCTGCAATCAAAAGAAGATTGCCGAAGTTTCTATTAAAAATGTGCTCATTGCTTTTACTATGATGAAAAAGAAGAAATAACATCATGAAAATATGTTTTAAAGATAAGTGATCAATGAATTATGTTATATAGCATTTTGATTAAAAATTTGAACATAAAAAGGAGATGGAAGGAGAAAAATACACCCCCTAATACAATAACACGTTTTCAAAATGTTTTACTGGATTTTGTTGGGAACTTTTATTACGTTGCCCTCGGTATTGCGATGCTTTACCTTGACAAAATGAACATCGTAATAACGGGACTCTACTGTACCAGGCTTGCTTTGGATACTTAATCTGACCTACATTTTCTGGATGAGTGAACAGGTTAATGTTTTTGGTGCAGGATTCATTTCCAAGTAACTTTGAGCTCTTTAATAACCAAACCTGCATCTAAGGATGCATATTACCAGGCTGGCTTTGGATGCTGAATCTGACCTTAGTACATTTTCTGAATGAGTGAAAAGGTTAGTCTTTTATGCAGGTTTCATTTCCAAGTAGCTATGAGCCCTATGTTGAGCAAACTTGCATGGATGATACATCTTAGGATGCACACTAATGGACTTGCTTCAGATGCTGAATTCGACATAAATTTTCCCGATAATGGAACTGGTAAAAGTTTTTCGTGCAGGTCTATTACCAAGAAACTATAAGGCTTATATAACCCAAACTTGCACAAATGATGCATCAAGGGATGGAAACTCTTAAACTTGCTTCAGATGCTGGATTTTAATTACATTTTCGTGATGAAGAACTAGTTTGAAGTTTTTTATATTGGTCTATTCCAAAGTACCAGATCAAAATTGCATAAATTTTGCATTTTTGGATGTACATTTTGGTTAATTGTGTGACTTTGCCTTACTTAAACACAACATTTGTTGAGGTGAGCTCTGTAATCTTTGATTACCTATGTTTATAAACCGCAACTGCCCCAAGTTATATCGTATAACATAAGATAAAATAAGCTTCATTCCTTAAATATCTCTATCTTGATTGAAAAAAAAAACAGTTTTTTATGCTGCATTAAAATCTTCCTTGGCATGATTGTCATCTTTGAATCTTGTATGTGTTTCTTTCAGGATGCCATTCAAGTGGTTCTAACTGTCAATGATCTCTCCATTCTAAGTGTGTCAGACAACATCACTAAAGTACTGGGATACCCACCAGTAAGTATTATCTCAATGTGTCAGACAGCATCACTAAAGTACTGGGTTATCTCAGTAGTATCTCAATGTGTCAGACAACATCACTAAAGTACTTAGATACCCACCAGTAAGTATTATCTCAATAGTATCTCAATGTGTCAGACAACATCACCAAAGTACTTAGATACCCACCAGTAAGTTTTATCTCAATAGTATCTCTGAGATACCCAATAGGAAGTCTTGTCTCGATATTCTTTCATGGTTATCCAACATTTAGGTTTGTTTCAGTAGTATCTGTGTCAGACATTATATATTTCTTGAGTACTGAGTAACTCATGTAAGTAGATAAATTGTAATAAGGAAAATGACTCCTTTTTAGAGTAAAATGTTCAAGTCTAGAATATAAGCATCAATTATCACCTTTCTTATACTAAGTGGGATGTAATTTGATATGGGGTAAAATAATTGCTATGCAGCTGTCTTTATAGTTATAGAGAAAGAATCACCATGGAGACAGATTTATGTCACCAGCCATGATTAGTCAATAATTATGTCATGGATGATATTTATATGAATTGTTTTCTAAATTAAAAAAAATATGAACAAATTGTGTGACAGCTGTCTAAGTCAGGGTTCTCCATGGACTAGATATTGTGATTGCCTTATCACTGTTAAAGTTCTTACCCCCTCAGCGGTTAGAGAATTAGTCGTACTACTGCCATGGAAAATGCATGACAGTGTACAAAGTGTTAAGAATGATATGTGGGAAAAAAAAGTACTATTATGTTCTATGGTTTATCATAGTACAAACATGATTTTGACTAATTAGAATTATATTTTTTAATGTTACACAAATGACTGAAGGACCTCCACAAATACAGTGTACATCTAACTTTTTTTTATTATATGTCTGGAGACTGGTTCTACAATTGATGCAATGGAATTTTGAGAATTTACAATTCTCTTTAACCAAATTTGATTCCAGTTTACTTAAAGTACATTGAAACCTATGGTTTCAATGTAAGAAAGCTGCTTAATTTTTTTTTTTATGGATTAAACATTATGAAATTGTTTTTCCCTTGGAATTAGGACCGCTTGGAAAAGTGACATTTACAGAATTTCGGTGATGTCACAACTCCCAGCATCAGTTGATATAGTCTCTTTAAGGACCCATGTGTCTTCAGTTTGTTTAAACAGTAATTGTCAGAACCTGAGAAGTAATATAGTATTTTGATGTTATGAAACAATATCTCGTTGTAATGAGATTAATTAAAATTGAATTTAATTACTGTAAAATTGAGATGCTTGATAATTACAGGACAGTTTGATCAACGGATGTCTATTATGAAACATATCTCATCACAGTAATGATATCAATTAATATTGAGATGATAATAACAGGACAGATGGATCAACAGATGCCTGTTATGAAACATATCTCGTTACAGTAATGAGATTAATTAATATTGAGATGATAATTACAGGACAGCTGGATCACTAGATGTCTGACTCATTATGTTCACAAGAAGGACATAGTGACAGTCAACACGAGTTTGAATGTGGACTCGGTCGAGCTGGCTCAGATGACCGACTGCGAAGGTCAGTATAATCACCCCAAGATACTTTTAATCACATGTAAACTTAGATGACAGACTCGGGTTAGTATAAACACCCCCAAGATACTTTTATAATCGCACATAATTTACTTGTTTTTGAACTAGCGGGCATATGAGTTTCAAATGAGTTACAATAACAATTATTGAGTGAAAACAGAAATGTAGAATTTGCCTGATTGGAATTTTTCCCTCCATATATTGTAGATTCAGCTGTCGAGATTAAGTCTGGGGAGAAATCTAGCCAAATAAGGAAGAAATTCTTCTTCAGGATAAGGCAAGTATAAACGTCTACATAACAGAAAGATGTCATCGAAATCAATAAATCTGTGGAAAACAAAGGCAACTGCAATCTCTGTGGTTAACATGGCTAAAGATAGAAATTCATTGATTTTTCGTTCTTCTTTCTAGATTCTTCACTGACTATAAAATATGGCTATAAGACTAAACTAATCTCATTAAGAAATAAATTCAAAATCTAATTCTGCTTTTTTTTTGCTCACAATAAGAATAATAGTTCTTCCATTGGGAATATTTAAGGAATTAAATCTAAAAATAACAGTGTGCGTCATCTCTTGTAATTGGCCTTACCCATTTCAAAAGACAGTGGTTAGTGTCATTGTTATGACTCGCTAAGAAGAAATGTATGTACACGTGTAGTATGTGTCATTGTCTTCAATCCCTGTATGTGAGCTATTTGCAAAGATGCAGTGACCTTAACTTTTCCTATGACCTTGACCTTATTTTTTGTTTATTTCAATTTCAAAGAAATGTATTTGATAGAATTATTTTCAATAGTATCTTTAAAACTGAGATAAACAAAAAATGAGGTCAAGGTTATATATAGGAAAGGTTAAGGTCACTGCTACTTACCGTATAAGTGGAAATTTTAGCCAGACGCAAATTTAGCGATTCTTCCTTAAAAATTGGTATTTTATTTTTAGCGAGATGTAATTTTAGCAATTTTAAAATGCTCTCTAAAGAAGCCATTACAAACAAAACACAATTTTTAGCGATATTCAGTTTTAGCGATCTCGGCTCCCTCGCTAATAATGCAGTTTTATGAATTTGTAAAAGATATTAACTTTATACACCTCTGTACTCTTAAATTAAAACTGAGAGGCTTCTTCTTGCTGTTAGGTAGATTGAAAGTATCAATTATTACTGCTGTAAATGACAACAACTGATTTAAGGTGTTAATTCTGTATAGGAGAAAAATCAATGAAATTATTTCCTCTTTCATCATTTATTACTTAAACATAAGTATAAAAACATACTAAAAATGTACTCTTTTCATTTTGTATCATTGGGTCGGGCATTTATCTTACTGACATGTATTTCTTGATCCTTTTTAAAAACAAAAAAACTTTAACTTTAATCATCTTTAATGCCTATTTTTAACTTTTATTTGATAGGAATTACAAAAGCCTTCAGCACAGTGGGTTTAGCTTGGCACGACCGGACAAGTTTACTACAGTACAGGCCAGTATGACTGTCAGTTATTGTCCTGAGGGTAAGAAGACGGGATCCTCTCCTTCCTCTGGGGAATCCGACAAATCGGGCAGAATTAGTATCCACCTGGAGTGTGTTCCTCTACAGTCACTGTACAACGGTACGTTATCTCACCTGATGTGTATGTAAGGGAAATGTTATCAAGATTGCTCAGTTGTGTCGGATGTAATGAAATGATTCCCTCTGTTAAATATTGAGACTGATGTTAGGTTGTAATAAAAGAGTTCAGAGTTCTAGCTCTTTGAGAGCTGAACTCTTCGTGAGACTGCTGTAATGTTAAAGCTCTTGGAGCTCTTGTATCTTTTCCTTCAGTTTTCATACAACCCTGAGATTATTTTTCTTTACAGTGGAGAGTGTGCAGCTTGAGAATCAGACATTCTATATGAGGCATTCCATGTACTGTAGTTACAATTACATGCATCCAAAGTAAGTTATCACATAAAGAATAGTTGTATGGGTTTTTTTCTGAATTATTTACAGACTAATAAAGATTAATTGAATAAATCCTTTATGAATCTTGATAGTTGTATTCACTGTTTGTAGTGCCATTCCCCTGCTGGGGTACCTGCCACAAGATATGAATGGGATGTCCATTTTTGATTTTTACCACAAGGATGATTTGGAAACTTTGTATAACATATACAGACAAAGTAAGAATACTTCTCAGCTTTCTCAGATATCATCATACTAAAAAGTATTTTAAAAAAACTACAATCTCATTGTTCCTAATCATTGTCATGTTCTGTTGAGAGAATCCCAACTATCAGAAGTAAGAAATGTATAGTTTATTTCACTATTAATAAGACTGTGATATTTGATAGTTGTGGTCTCCAAGGGAACACCCTTTAAGAGTAAGCCGATCAGATTGAGGACCAGGAATGGCTGCTGGCTGACTGTGGAGACTGAGTGGTCAAGCTTCGCTAATCCGTGGTCACACCGGCTGGAGTTTATCATTGGTCAACACAGACTGGTCAAGTAAGCATTCTACACTTATAACAACACATCATTGGTCAACACAGACTGCTCACACTTATAACAATACTTACCATTGGTCAACACAGACATTGATTTACTTACAATTACACCTTGTCTTAATGTTTTTCAGTTGCTTTATTTCCATTTTCTTTTGTCAATACTACCAGGGATTTATCTAGACATTTTGTTTTACTGCCATTTTATATATTAAGGGGAAAAATGAGAGCCACAGGCTCAATCTTAGCGCCGGAGGCGCGAGTATGCTAGGGGGGTCAGGGGGCACCCCCCCCCCCCCTCCGTAAATTAATGGAGCAAAATCCTGCATTCTTAGAGCTTCTGAGGGTCATTTCTAGACCTTTACAAAGGCCACAAAACTTCACTTTTTAGACAAAATATGAAATAACAACAACAAAAAAATAATAATTTGGTCAGTACTTTATTTGATTTTTGCTCCGAATATCTATCACAAATCAATTTTCCTGTTTTTCATGTTTCACTACTAACATTGTTTTTGTTCTTCCTCCATTCTTCAGATTCATAGTGATACAAGCTCAATTTTACTCATCTACACTTTTCTTTTTAACTCTGCAGTCGCATACGTATCTTTCGACATCATGGACATGGCACATGTTTACCGATCAATATCAAATAGGAGCTTGAATAATCTATTCTTTATTCTAAAAGCGTTTGAATGAATAGGATGGTAAATTAGGATATGCTGTTAAACTTCAAACGGACAAAATGAAAATTTCAGAACGATGTTTTAATATTCTCCATTTAATCGCAAAAAGGGGAATTTTTGCACCTTTTTCAAGAGGGGAATGGTATCGTTTACTGGTAGTAAAAACGGCAACTATGTAACGTGTCTATTTTCACACAAAATCGACATTATTAATATGAAATAATTTAGTGCTTATAAACCTCAATGAGCAAATCATCACACTTGATCATTGGAATGATTGGATATTGAAAACTTCAAGGACAGACGCTGAAATTACTCAGTTGTAATTTAAACATTAAACAGAAAATTTCCATTTATATTGAGTCATTCAATTAAGATAATTAATATGAATCAATGAGAAAAGGTTTAGCTATATAATAAAGAAGTTATTGAACTTATATCGCTGAATATTGACATGTTAAGGCTGTACAAATGCACTCACAAGCTAGAGCAAGCTATTGCATGTGTACAGCTAACTTTTGTCAATAGTTCAATAACCTTCTGTGTTGTAAGATATTAAGAGTCCTTTTAAGATATTTTCAAGTGTAAACTCTGCTCCATCGGCAAACAGGGGATCTAACTCAGTTAATCATTGATCTGCATATAGGAATCATCGTGAATCTAAGATTGTTAAAATTTGGTGATTTCAGTCATATGGATTTTTAAAGATACAATGGCATAGGGGGAGGGGAGGTAAACACTAATGAAATGACATTTGCTATTTAACAAGTTTTTCCTTTCTTTTCCTTTTAGACCGCCTACTGACGGCAATGTGTTCAGTGAACCAGATCGACCTTTGTTTATGTCACAGTTGAGTGATTACCAGCAAATGCTACAACAAAAAATCAGACAGATGTTGCTAGAGGTCAGGAATAACTATATAGTTCTGTATATTTATTCTATATAGGAGATAATTATTGTGCCCATTTTTTAGTTTATAAACATGTATAATAAAAAGCAATTATACATTTCGAGAACTATTGTAAAATTCTCCATGTTGGACATGGGGGACTGACAATGACTACAATGAACAATTATCAGCCATAAACACTAAAAAGCACCCCTTTATTTGTATAAGTAGAGCAATGTGAATTACAGAGAATCGTCTGGATGTTCTTTACTGAACGAGCTTGATTTTGTTTTTCAGCCTGTCACTGAGGGGAAAGTCATCTCTCCGCTTCAGTCCAGAGTCGATTCTTCTGATGAACAGAAAACTTCAGGTGGGCTGTCAGAGATACACACATACAAACATGCAATAGTGTACCGAAAATGCCTCCCAGTTTTATCCACAAATAAAGGAAGAAATATTTGCAATATTTCTGTAAATGCATTGTACATCACAACTTGTTGGAGATCAACAATATACATGTATTTTAGCTTTTGTTTGAGTTTCCCCTTTATGCTTGGTTGTATTTACAGCTTTAACATGGATTTAAATTGAGATGAAATCAGTTGAAATTTCTTATTATTACAGAAGAAGAATCGGATAAAACCAAGATTAAAAGTAAACAACAGATAGAAAAGTTCACGGACAGGAAAGCGGGGAAATCACCAGTATGTCTTCTATGTACAAAACTAGTACTTGTGTAATGTGATCACAGAATTTGTGAAAAAAAAAAAAAAAAGATTTGCAACTACGCAAGTGAGTTAAGGCTAAATATAGGTTTTTCTATGCAAATGAGCTAATAAAAATGCATAACTTATATATTTTATGTACAGAGAAAGTTCAATTGGATTTTCTTGTACATACTTAATAACCACAGTATATTAATGCAAGTGCACATTATGACGTCATCTTATGATGTCATTGTTCTTTCCCATTCAAGATAATAGAACACATCAACAAAACAACGGCGCTAGGGCATATTCTATTTGATTTGAAGTAAATAATGTATAATATTATGGAGAATATACTTAAAATTAATAAAATTGCTGCACAAATCCTATGCACTTCTTCAGTTGATAAAAATTTTAAGAAACTTACACTGGACTGTGATTTTTTTACCCTGTTTCAACTTAGAATTGTGCGAATAGTAACTAAACAATTATCGTGTCGACATTTGTGCAGCAATATTTTAAATCCTTGGAATTTTCTGCGTCTCTTTATACCTTGTTTTTGTTAAACAAAGTAAGGTATGCCCTTGCGCCGAAGCGATTTTGTTGGTTTTTTATAAACTTGTGTAGTAAAGATCGATGACGTCATAATATGACGTCATAATGAGTACTGGCTATCGCATATCATGGGTACCAAGAATGTATTAGAATACAAGTTTTAACATTTTCTTTGCGGTATGTATAGCAATTATGGGTTTTAATTAAATATTTATAGAAACCTCCTTATGAAGCCTTAACTCACTTGTGTAGTGTAATACAGGTATAGAATTTTTTACCAATAATAACTGGGTTACACTGATTATTTATTTATTAACAGCTTTTAAATTGTATTTTTTTTTTATTCCAATGGTTTAACATTTAAAATAACATTAAAGTTTTCCTGTCGTGTGTAAGTTATAATTGATGAGTTGTTTCCCTTGATTACAGGATTCTCTCCAGTCTGCTGAATCTATTGGCATCAGTTCTATACAGACCTTCCCGGAACATGAAACCTCCATGGCTTATGAGCAGCTTAATTATGCCAACAGCATCAAAAGGTACTAATGCAACATTTTTTTTTTTATTTCTTGGTTTATGGATCCGCCAACCCTATTTTTTTAGGAATTAGAAAAAAAATGCAAATTTGAGATTTTTTTTTCGAGCAAACTTAGCAAAAAGTATCCTTGGGTGAAGGGGATTCAAGTTTTGTTCAAATCATGACCCCCCGGGGGTAGGGCAGGGCCACAATGGCCGATCAAAGTTTTACATAGACATAGAACAACCAAAAATGAAAATAAAATATGTTTTAATTGTTACAAATGATCTTAATAATTATTTAGAGGGGGAAATGTAATATATATTACCCTGGAAAGCTGTTTGTACAGCAGCAGTTCTTAAAATCTTAACAGGAATCAACATGGGATACCCGGTATTGTATCCTTGAGCTATAAAAACAAGTGATGCAATACATCTGGGGGAAATGACTACCAATGTTTTGTAAATAGTTTTTAAGGTAGTTTGATCCTCAGGTTTATAAAATTAGCAGTTAAGCAATCAAAAATACTCATAAAAGTATCTCTGAATCCACAAAGTTATTTAAATTTATCCACAGTATTTCTTTAAAGTAATAGATTAAAGTTAATCATATTATAAGCGGGAAATTGTCAAATCTCCAATATTTTTGCAGAAAAAGCGAATTGGAATATCAGCAATGCATTTTGTAATTGCAAATTGATCAGCAAATATATTTTAGGTTAGAAAACGATAGGTATCCAGGCATTTAGAGAAATTGTCATGATTTTTACACTTATTTGGTATTTTTTGTCTTATTTCTGTCATGTAGTCTATAAAACATAGTGTAAAAGGCTTTTGCTATCATTGCAAGACACCACAAATCACTTCCTATTTCATATCATGCTAGTAAGCTTTGGTATCTAAGGCTGGATTCAAGAAAATCTTATTTCTCTGAAAATGTATTAATTTATTTTCCTTTTATAGGGTACAAATGTCAACTTTTATAAGACCTTTTCTAAGACTTCCAAAAACCTTGACTCTTATAAAGATGAATAAAATGAAAATTGTTGCATGAAAAAAAATTAATTTTCAAGCTTCATTTTGATGCATTTCAAATTAAATATTGATTTTTGGAGTTATCCTTCCTGACTGAGGATCGGATAACTTTAAGTTTACTATCATGCATTATAGACACTAGTGGATTATAAAATCATAAAATCAATAACAGTTATCATGATATTTAGGAATGAACTTATCTTTCCATCTTTGCATTACCATGATTACAGATGTTTACATTCAGGGTTGGACTAATACCCCCCAAATGCATAAATTCCCTATCATTCATCTTTTTCATTTTCTCAATTTAAGGATTTCCATCCCTAATGGGACCAAATTCTCTACCCTTAAATGTCTGTCAAGTACATAATACTCTGATATTATATTAAAGCATTTTATAGTAGAAAAGGATTGACCGTGAGAAGTTCCAAAAATGTCATTAATTAAGCAATAGTTAATTAACAAAGATTGCATTGAAGTCTATGGGGAAAAGCGTTTTTTCAAAATAAAAATTCTAATAATTTGAATATCAATAAATCCTGCGGTGGAAAGATGCATTGAAACATTAAAAGTAGAATGACAATTGAAAAAAAAAATTTACCGGCTAAATTTTTTAAATTGATTTTTTTTTATTAATTAAAAAAAGGGGAGATAACTCTTACCAAAATTCAAGGTCATAAATTAGGACACATCCCACTATACATACTAATGGTAATAAATGGGAAGTATGTCTAAATAAACTGAGTATTCAATGCCTACATATCTGTTATGTATTCAATTTCATTGAATTTGATCCTATTAGGGATTGAATACCTTAAAATAATCAAGAACAGTTTTCATTCTTTGTTTTAATTGTGTAGTAACATATTTTATGAGGGCCGTTCAAAAATTACGAGGACTTGTTGCACAGAAAAAATATTGGACGACATAATCATTCAAAATGTCACACATAATATAACAGAATCTTTACTGATGTGGTCTTTAAAATTTCATATCAAAATGTTGTAAATTGATATCAATTTTGGGTGATTTATCAGGACATATTATTAAGTCACGGAGCAACAAAATCTTCGACGTCACATTCTAAAAATAATGAGTTTTCATTTTCTCAACATTTTCCTAAGAGTTCCTGTTCAGATTTAACTACGTTACCTACTCAACATCCATACACCATTTCTTGTCAATTTTAAACTCTATAAAACAAGTAAAGCATATTCATTTCTTGTTTTAAAACTAAAAATTGCAGGTACTTATAGGATAAAGTGTGACATTGGTCGCTCTGAAACACGTTCTTTACAGTCCGGACAAAGTTTTCGTCAATAATATTTCGGCCCGTCCTCACGAATAGCCTACACTTTATAAAGATAAGGTCATAATGAATAAAAAATTTTAATTTGCTTTTTGTAAACAAATTTTTTAAATCTAATTTCTGGTTTACTACATGTTTTATTATGCATATTTTGGATTAGTTTAAATTCTATGTTGGCGATATCTTTTGGAGCATTACACATAATTTAACAAAAGTGTGGTGGTCCAATAACTCCTGTCTTTTCATTCAGGCATTTGCTTCATTGTACTTCTAATGTAAAATTCACACAATTCAAAAGGAATCACATCAGAGAAAAATCACTTTATTTCTGTGCGATTTTTTTATGTTGACATATTCTTCTATTTATGTTTCCAGAAATCCAAATAAATATATTAATAAATAAGCAATATAAAGACACACTTAATATAAAACATTATAGTGTTGTACATAAACATCGCGAATTATAGAAAATTTTTCAATGAGTTTAATTTTGGTCTTCTGAATGATTTTGTTTAAAATTTTTTGTTGGCAAGTGCTTCTGATACTTGCCAACTAGCTGAAGCAAAGGTCCTTATCAGCGATATTTTGGTGTAGGCAAAACAGCGATAATTTTAAGAGAAATTTTTTGCTTTAAAACTTCCAATGTAACATGGTCCTATTGTTTGTAAATGCCCTTCATCTAAATCTCTTTTGTGAAATCTTTAAGATTGGTTACATATATCCAATCTGTGAAATTTCATAATTTAAACTATATGACGTCCAATGACTGGAAAAGGGGAAATATATAACCGGCCGAAAATTATCCAATTTTATTTCATAAAATATTTATGCGAATTTTATTTTACAAAGTAATTTGAACTTCAATTTTCATTTTAAACAAATGCACAAGTGTATTTTATATTTATTATATCATAAAATTAAAAAATTGTGGCTTAACAGAAAAAATATACACTTTAAATTTAGTTAAGATTAAATCATAAAAAGTGTGAATATAAAAAATTAGAAAACAATAAATTACATATTTTATATATTCATTTGATATGCTAAATGCATATTGACCAAACTTTTTATTCGGTAAATCTAGATTTGAAATGGAATTTAATATAAAACAACATATATGAATAGTTCTTTTAATAGCTTAAAGGGAGAATTGAAGTCTCTCCAATATTTTTAGGCTAAGTTTGTCCCTGTTATTGTATTTTTTAATTCATTTTTTTCTAAACAAATTGTGTAAACAGGTAGTTAATGCTGTGAATGCATGTATCTTTATTCTTGTAGACAGCAAATATGGTATGGCACATCATGGAATAAGAAGTCTGAGTGAAATAAATACTCATAGTATAATTTTGTAATATTGTTGCTTCCTCACATTTTAAGCTCAAGTGAGCTTTTCTGATCAAAATTTGTCCGTTGTCTGTCGTTGTTGTCGTTGTAGTCATTAACTTTTCACATTTTCATTGTCTCGTTAACTTTTCACATTTTCCTTGGGTAAAAGGGATTCTTTGTTCAAGAACCACCCCCTCTTCCAAGGGGAGATAATTATGAATTAGTGCAAAAATTAATGGCATCTGTTAAAAATCTATTTCTCCAGAACCACTGGGCCAGGAAAGATGAAACTTGTGTGGAATCAATCCTCAGGTAGCGAAGATTCAAGTTTGTTAAAATCATGACCCCTGGGGGTAGGGTGGGGCCAAAATGGGGTATCAAAGTTTAACATAGGAATACATAGGAAAAATATTTAAAAATCTTCTTCTACAGAACCGTTGGCCAGGAAAGATGAGACTCGGTGGAGTCATCCTCAGGTAGCGAAGATTCATGTTTGTTCAAATCATGACCCCTGGAGGTAGGGTGGGACCATAATGGGGTATCAAAGTTTAACATAGGAATACATAGGAAAAATATTTAAAAATCTTCTTCTCCAGAACCACTGGGCCAGGAAAGATGAAACTCATGTGGAAACATCCTAAGGTTGCGAAGATTCAAGTTTTTTTCAAATCGTGACCCCCGGGGATATGGGTGGGGGCCACAATGGGGTATCAAAGTTTAACATAGGAAAAATCTTTAAAAATCTTCTTCTCCAGAACCACTGGGCCAGGGAAGATGAAACTCATGTGGAAACATCCTCAGGTAGCGAAGATTCAAGTTTTTTCAGATCATGACCCTGGGGGTAGGGTGGGACCACAATGGGGTATCAAAGTTCAACATAAGAATACATAGGGAAAATCTTTAAAAATCTTATTCTCAAGATTCACTGGGCCAGGAAAAATGAAACTCATGCAGAAGCATCTCCTGAAAGGGAAGATTTTATTTTGTTCAAATTATGACCCCTTGAGCAAGGGTGTGGCCACAATGGGTGATCAAGGTTTTACATAGGAATGCATGGTAAAAATCATTAAAATTCTTCACAAACCCATCATGATGATTGATCATCAATTTAAAAGCATAAAAAGGTAATGTAATTTTGAAATTCAGGAGAATAGAGGAACCATAAAGTGTACAAATGAATACAAGGCTATATCAATAAAAATTTTCATCTTATAAACAAAAAACCATAATGTGTCACAAAAGCATTCTAAGGAAGTGTAGATTTAAGTTGGTTTAAATACTCCCTCCCCTTCCCAGAACCCATATTTATAATGTATGTAACCTTTTTGATACTGAACTAATTTTTGCTTTTACCTAGCCAGTTGCTCAGGTGAGCGATGTGGCCCCTGGGCCTCTTGTTTAGCTTGAAACTGCATTTCTGTCATGAAAACACAAAAGCTTCAATCTTTAAAAATCTTCTTCTGTACTCCTGGACATCAAGCAGTCAAACTGTTGGTAAAAAAAAGCATATACGTAAACCATGGCCCCAGGGTCAGATTTTTAGTGCTAAAATGTGGCTAAACAGTTAAATATTGCATTATTTGTTTGAAATTTTCCAAAAATAAACTAATTTTTAACTGATTTGAGTTTTGCGATATTGTGAATTTGTGCATGCATGTTCTAGTGATAGGGTGGGGCTATATAGAATATAGTGAAAATGAGAATTCTTTGAAATTTTTTTTCTTTTGTGCATGAATATAAGCACTAATACAAATGATTAAAATGCGAGGGGCATTTCAAAAGTTCTGGCAACTGTTTAATAAAAGATTAACCGTTTTACGGAAATTATTGCCAAGTGCATATCATGTTGAAAGATCTTCCAAAATTGTGATATGGCCCATATTGTGACGTCACTTTATAATATGAATTTTTATGACGTAATAACTCCTGAGTATTAAATAAACTAACCAGAATATAGAATGTTTAGCATACTCTTCCATAAAAATGACGTAACAAAAGACAATTTGATCAAATTAAAATATATAGTCAAAACAACTTTTGCTCATTACTTTTCTGACGCAAGTTAACGGACGCAAATGCCATAGTTATGGTGGAATGTTTACATTTTTGAATTTCAGTCTATCATATGGTATTTTATTTTGGAGATCTGTCTTCTTCTGAAATGGTTTTAGCGAGTGTCAAAATTAGCATGGTTTTATCGAATTTTTTGTCGCTCACTGTATTTTTTCTTGTATTTTAAACTTTCCCAGATTTGAAATTAATTTTAAATGGTATATTAAAACAACAAAGTTGACAATTTATTTACCTCTAAAGAAAAATAGGCTGATTGTGTTACAAAATTCAATGGCATAAATTCGATTACAAAACTATTAACCAGATTTGTGGCATCGATGAAGGCTAAATAGAAGTATCAAATATAAGATTGCCCCATGAATTATTCTAGGATAAAATTCAAAAGCCAGACAAAGCTTAACCCCACGATATAACTACCTAATAGTAGCAACAAAAAATGCATGGAAAATAAATAAGATTTTACATGTCTGTAACTCTTCATTTTTTGAATTCAAAAGTCAAAAGCAGTGGTGTGTTGTGGGGGGGGGGCCTAATGTTTATATAGTGAATATGTAAAAATACACACAAAATCTTTTCCTTTGTTGTTGGGTATAATGCCAATGATCTTAGTATATATTAATGGTAAAAAAACCTGCTTCTTCAAAATATATTTAGCCCCTGGGACAGAATACTGCATTAATATACTTATAATTTAATGCTTTGAAATATGTTTTATTTCAAACGATGGAGAGCTATATAAATTTCCAAAATTTTGAAAATCCAGCCGTATCATGTAAATAAAAATCTTAACACAAAATGAATGTCTATGATAGCATAACTCTTTGTTACATGATCTACCTGCTCGGTATTAACAAACCAAAATACAATGAATAATGGAATTGCTGATAAAATTGTAAATTTCATGGCCTCTTTTAAAACTACCTATTTGCAAATTAAAATTTTCTTTAAAAATTTTTATAATATATGTAAACTTTTCAATACTGAACTAATTTTTGCTTTTACCTAGCCAGTTGCTCAGGTGAGCGATGTGGCCCCTGGGCCTCTTGTTTAGCTTGAAATGTCTGTCATGAAAACACAAAAGCTTCATTTTATTTTCATTTCTCCCGACCAACCCTAATTAAAAAAAGTATGTAAACCATTAAGATTTTTTTTTTAAAAATGTGGCCTAAATAGTCAAATATTACACTAGGTTTTCCAAAAATATTTACTTTTTCACTGATTTGAGTTTTGCGATAGAAGGGTGCATGCATGTATCTTTTATTTAACAGTTGAAAAATCCAGTATTCTTAGCTTTTTGCATGAATATAAGCACCAATACAAATGGTTAAAATACTGTATAAAGGTATTTTTTACGTGCTGCTAATTTTTATGAGTTTTATAAATCCGTAAAATTTAAATGCGTAAAATTTCACAGAAGGAAAAAAATGCCTGGCCTAAATTTTCAACATCGTATGTAATAGAGTATTGGCTATAATTGCTATTTAACTCAGTACCTATAGGCTAAAATTAGAACTGTTGGTATTTTTAGCACTTTAAAATTGATCATCAATTAGGATCAAACAAGTTAATTGTAATTAATGCATAAGGTATACAAACATCGTCAATTACCTGGTTACTTTTACAAGACGCATAATTTCTGATAATGATTTAATTATTACAGATCTTTAAATTATACCCGTTTTTCAAATTCGTTGACCCTTTTTTCTGTTTTGTTTGCATTCAATTAAAACATGACTTTTTAACACACTAGAATAGTGTCAAGTAAATCATGATGGTTTGAGTTGTCTCTCTTTATATTTTCCATAAAATGAAGACGGGCACATGGTGCTCACCAATAATGATACTTTAAAGTTAGCAAATTGTGTTTTAATTTAAAAAGAATGGCACATGATATATAAAGGTAATTCAATGAACAAACATATAATTTAATGAATCGACATTTGATATCGCGGGAATAATATTTTGATTTTTACATCGGGTTTTCCAGACGCATTAGGCCTATTTATATGTAAACGTATTCAAAATGCTAAAACATTGATCTGGAATTTCACCTCCTATGATTTAAATTTTTACGAACATGCTCAATTCGTAAAAAAGTAACAAGTAAAAATTTAAATCACCTTATTTCAGCCAAAATTTGTAAAAATTTACAGCAGTAAAAATAACCCGTTATATGGTAATTTAAAATTGTAAGATTAAAATAAGACCATGTAAATTGTCTAGGACCATTTATTCAAATCGGTAAAAAGGCTTTTTTAGAGTATTCATGTATTTTAGTGTGTTGTTATTTCTGTCATGACTTATTTACTTTGTTGTCAGGTACTTAATGAGCCAACAGAAAACATACTCCTCCTCCTCAGAGAAGAAAGCTACGTCTGAAGAGGAAACAGACACCCCGTGTACCATCTCCACGACAACTGCAGGTACGCTCACAGATAGGTCAGATAAATAAAATAAAATAGTTATAAACGAGGAAACAGACACCCTGTGTACCATCTCCACGACAACTGCAGGTACGCTCACAGATAGGTCAGATAAATAAAATAAAAAATAGTTATAAACTCCATGTACGATCTCCATGACAACTGCAGGTACGCTCACAGATAGGTCAGAGTTAAAAAAAAAGTAGTTTGACTTGTGTGCAAGTAAGTTCTGATCCTGTAATGTGCATGTCTTTTGTTTACAGAACCATCAGATTCAGAGTTTGAAGTAGATATCTCAGTCCCAAAACCACCTAGCTTTGGAAGTAGTACAAAGGTATGTGTATGTCAACTTAGTTCTATTTCACTTCAAAATAATTTTGTGAAACAAAGTACTGTAAAAAAAATGTATTATATTTAGCGTGTATGATATTTGGCGGAAATTGAATTATGAACTAGTTAGCGGAAACTTGATTTAGTGTATCTCATAAAATTTGTCTTTATTAGGTCACCTGAGTAAACTCAGGTGACCTATTGCTATCACTTTTCGTCCGTCGTCGTTCGTCGTGCGTCGTGCGTCGTGCGTTAACATTTGAACATTTTCAGCTTCTTCTCTGAAACCACTGAACCAATTTCAACCAAATTTGGCATATAGCATCTATGGGTGAAGGGGAACAAAATTTGTGAATTTCATGGGCCCTGCCCCCCTGGGGCCTGGGGGGTGGGGCAAAAACTACTAAAATTAGTGCAATCTTTAAAAATCTTCTTCTTTACTCCTGGACATCAAGCAGTCAAACTGTTTGCATGATTGTAATCAGCATTGAGTTCTCTACCAAAATTGTGAAATTCATGGCCCCGGGGTCAGGGGTTCTGGTGTTAGGGTGGGGCTAAATAAGTATATAGTGAAATTTCATGAATTCTTTGAAAATCTTCTTCTCTGCTCCTGGGTATTAAATAAACTAACTAAGTGCATAGTTATGATGAGCAAGAGTATATCTAACAAAATTGTGAATTTCATGGCCCCAGGGTCAGATGTTCTGGTGTTAGGGCGGGACTCTATTGATTATATAGTGAAATTCCATAAATTCTTTGAAAATCTTCTTCTCTGCTCATGGGTAATGAATTAACGAAGCAAGTGCATAATTATGATGAGCAAGAGTGCCTCTACCAAAATTGTGAATTTTATGTCAGGGGTTCATGTTAGGGTGGGGCTCTATAGATTATATAGTGAAATTTCATGAATTCTTTGAAAATCTTCTTCTCTGCTTCTGGGTATTAAATAAACTAACTAAGTGCATAGTTATGATGAGCAAAAGTGCTTCTACCAAAATTGTGAATTTTATGGCCCCAGGGTCAGGGGTTCTGGTGTAAGGGGGGGGGGGGCTCTATAGATTACATAGTGAAAATACTTGAATTCTTTGAAAATCTTCTTCTCTGCTCCTGGGTAATAAATAAACTAAATAAGTGCATAGTTATGATGAGCAAGAGTGTCTCTACCAAAATTGTGAATTCTATGGCCCCAGGGTCAGGGGTTCTGGTGTAAGGGGGGGGGGGGGGCTCTATAGATTATATAGTGAAAATACATGAATTCTTTGAAAATCTTCTATGCTCCTGGGTATTAAATAAACTAAATAAGTGCATAGTTATGATGAGCAAAAGTGCCTCTACCAAAATTGTGAATTTTATGGCCCCAGGATCAGGGGTTATTGTGTTTGGTCAGGACTATATAGTTTATATAGTGAAAATACTTGAATTCTTTGAAAATCTTCTCTCTGCCCCTGGGTATTGAATTAACTAACTAAGTGCTTTGTTATGATGAGCAAAAGTGCTTCTACCAAAATTGTGAATTCGATGGCCCCAGGGTCAGGGGTTCTGGTGTAGGGGGGGGGGGGGGGGGCTCTTTGATTATATAGTGAAAATACATGAATTCTTTGAAAATCTTCTTCTCTGCGTCTGGGTATTAAATAAACTAAATAAGTGCATAGTTATGATGAGCAAGAGTGCCTCTTCCAAAATTGTGTTTTATGGCCCCAGGGTCAGGGATTCTAGTGATAGGGTGGGGCTTTATTGATTATACAATATATAATACACTAAATCTTTGAAAGTTTTCTTCTCTGTCCTTGGTATTAAGCAGATGAATTACCTATGTAGTTATGATGAGTAAGGGTCCTAATCTTCCAGAATTGTGAATTTCAAGGCCCCAGGGTCAAGGGTACCATAAAGGAGGGGGGGGCTGTACTTATATACTGAAACTGGATGAATTGTTTGAAATCTGCTCCTTGGTATTTATCAAATATTTTTGAAAAGCAAGGGTGCCTTTTCAAAAATTGTGCAATGTGTGCATCTAGGCCTAAGGGTCAGGGGTTCATGTGTGATTGGGGCATTACTGATCATGCTGAATATTACTGATTACTTAAAATGTAGTTTTTGTTCCCCTACCCTGCCTATGGGTATTAAGTAAACAAACTAAGCAACTGCTAAGTGTATTGTTATGATGATCAATGGTGCCTATTTCAAAATTGTGAATGCCATAGCATCTGGATTAAAACATGAATCAAATTCAATCACTGGAAAGTTGTTGCATAATGCTCAGGTGACCTATAAGGCCCATGGGCCTCTTGTTTGTATATGTATAAGACATTTAGCGTTGTACTTGAACTAGGGGAACTTGCTTTCAGCCAGAAGCGCTAAAAAGAATACACAGCCAAATGTAATACGTTTACAGTAACAGCAAACACACTTAAAATGGATTTATACTTGAAGTAAAGTGATATTGATGTCCCATAGATTAAAAACTTCTAACATTGTTTATAGCCTCTTTGATGAATTAACAATATATTTAACAAACTGATATTATTCTTCCCCAGCACTTTACTAAAAGTAAGTTCACTGTACCTCTCAAATAATGACCATCAAAGCATACCATGCATACATATCGTGATGGTAACATTTCTTGTGTTACATGTTAGGTCCTCCTGTCAAAACAAGAACAGAGGGAGGATGTGATAGTGAAATAAACTCACCTATACATACATACCATGATGATAACATTATTGTGTTACATGTTAGGTCCTCCTGTCAGAACAAGAACAGAGGGAGGATGTGGCTGGTAGTCCTGCTCACCAGATAGAAGACAACACAGAGGACACGACTGTTTCCCCCGGGGCCCCGGTCCCTGTACCCATGCCACCCCCTCCCCCTCCTGTGGAGAGCCCTGATACATTCAAACCCGTGACGCTCACGCAGGACGCCTTGTTACGTCACACCAGACAGCAGGAAGACCTGTTTGTGGCCCACGCTAAACAGGACAGGAGTCCCATCATCCTGAAATCTAAACAAGGCGAACATTTACAGGAGAGGAAGAGGAGTCACTCTCCTGACCAAGAGAAAGGGATGCTCCGACCGTGCAAGACCTCCAGGGGGGACAGCAGTATTCTGATCCCTCCCTTCCCCCTCCCCAGTATAGGATATAGACAGGGCGGCCCATCCCGGGATAAACTAGGTCACCGGTCATACAGGAACGAGGAACCGTACACGACGTCACCGTCAGGGCTTCCTGTATGTACCACCAAACCCTCGCAGAGTAACGTCGGCAGCAGGGTGACCCCCGCCCCCGGCAATGTCATGTGGCCTTACTACCCACAGCTAGGCTCAGGTGTGTAAACATAAACCAAACCTGATAGGTAACCTTCAAGTTTCTCATGTCCTTGTATGTTTCATTTCAACAGTGCAGTTAAAAAAGCATAAATATCTAATGAACATATATACATGTATCTCTAGATTTTAAATTTAATTTCTTGCTTAAGTATTGTGATCATTTTTGATTTTATGGATCATGTGTAATATGTTTTCAATATAGGAGCCTCCTTTTACCCTCAAGTGATGGGAGGGTTTTATCAGGAAGCTAGTCCCTCTCCAGCCACACTAAGCTTCAATGTCTCCAGTTCTATGCCGTCCCCTGTGAACACCAATGGTACGGCTGTATCCAGGGCTGGTAGACACAATCTACAGGTACATTTGTTAAGGATTTTATGAACTGAATATATAATAGCAATAGAATTTACTTACTGAAAATATCAGTTTGTCTTGGATTGAAAGTTTTATAATCTAATTATTCCCCTTGTATGTATTACAGCATTTTTAACTTTATTATTCCCCTCTGTAGGTACTACAGGGTCACTGTCAGGGTCCGTTCCACCTGCCGTCCATCACGACCTCGTTTTCTTCGTCTTCGGACATGTCCATTTCCCACACGGACAGTGGCTCCTCCTACCTCTATCTACTGGACTCCGACGACCAGAACAGTGGACAGGAGGTAGTCCTGTTAGGGCATCACAATCTCTAAGTTTATAAAGGCACAGAGTCAATGATATATTTTTCTTTAAATTGGTAGACAATGCTTTTTCAGTTTTTCTCAGTTCGCAGCTTTCAAACTTGATAATGGTACTGAGGACAAAAGGCTATGCATATGAATCTATGTTGTAATGCACAAATTTTTGTAAGGAAATGGCATGTAAGATTTTTAGAAATTTTGCCAGAAGGAATGCTCCTCTTTGTAGTACCTTTGTGTTAAAGTATAATGAAAAGATTTTCCTAACAAAAATCACTGAGTATAGAAGATTCGTTTTGATTTTATATCTTTGTTTTTACTTAAAAAGGACTCCAAGGCTAAAGAAAACAAAAGTAATAAACGACAAACAGAACCACCCTGGCTAGAGAACATCTGTTGGAATAAGAAGCTGGCTATGAACTACCAGCTCCCAAATCGGAAAAAGAATAGGGTACTGAAGTCAGATAAAGCCTTCATTACGACGTCCGAGGCTTCTAGTGTCCTCCTGCAACAAATGATGGACCTACAAAGCGATATTGAACAAAGTCAAGGAGCACCTGTTATCGTAAGTATCCATCTCACCTACCGTAATTCTGTTTTTATGTCTTATATCCAATGAAAAATAGCGAACAATTTATTGCAAAGAAATCTCAGGTAAATAAGTGAGTTTGCTTTTGATGTTTGAGTGTCTGTTTCCTTGTAGGATGAGGAATGCGACTACCTGTTCTATGATGAAGAGGAGACATTTTCTGACTGTGACAGCAGACTTATCTCCCTTGAGAATATCCACGATGCTCTATCTCGATGTGAAGATCATGAGGATGGCATTGGATGCTATAAGGATCAGAAAATTACCTCGGATCAGAGTAAAAAACCAATAGGGAAAAAATCCAGTGACCCTAATATGGAGGTGTCTTTAGAATCAGAGGTTGTGGCATCCTCTGTTACCGCGGAGGATAGGCTTCCACCGGAGCAGGTGGACGGAATGGACTGTCAAACAGAAAGTCAGCCACCTCTGGAAACCCAGGCACCATTAGATTCACAAGAACCACTAGATACTCAGGGACCATTAGACTCACTGACGATGGACATCGAGTCTAATTGTTCTAAAACTTCGAGTGACATAACTCCTAGTGATGAGAGAAGTAGTGGTGAAGCAGGAAGTTCCGTTAAAGAGTCGGACGCGACGTCGTCTAAAGGATCACTAGACGAGGGCAAAGACTCCTCCGAATCCGACACAGACGTGGGCAACAGCACCAGGAAAGATAACTTTGACATGTTCTTTGTTGTGCCACCTATTTTCTTTGTCAATCATTGTACGACACCTTTCTGGAATCACACTGTTGAAATGACACCATTAATGGAAATGGAATACACAGTAAGTGAAAGGAACACTGAGAAATGTTTAGGTGAGGATATGAGGAGTATGAAGAACTTTGTACAACCAGATCTGGTCAAACAGCAAATGGGCTTCATGATGGAGGAATTAAATCTTTTTAAAAAGTCCCCAGAAGAAAGTGACACTAAACAACGAGAAAAGGTGACAGCCAGAAAAGAAAGTAGGTGTTCTCTAGACACTAGTTCACTAAAGAAAACAGGGTCACAATCGCAGTGTAAATCAGAACAGGGCTTAACAGAGGACTTGTTTAACAGTCTGTTTGTGTCCATGTTTAACGAGGACTTATCGAGTTCTAAACAGAGATCTCCCGACATTGAGGATATTTCTGACTCTCTGGATGAGGTGGATTAATGTGTGACGAGATATTGTGTCTGATTAACTTAAATGTGTGTGTGGAGTCTAATAGAGGAAATTACTTATGTGTATGAGGATTAGAGATTACTGATGTATGTGTGTAATGAGATTGGTAAAATATGTGTGTTAGTAGAAATTACTGATTTGTGTCAGGGATTAGATATTGCTGATATACATGGTCTGTGTAAGTGAAAATAGATAAGTGGTGTGAGGGTTATAGATGATATGAGACTAAGTGATTAGAGTTGACTGGTATGTCTGTGTGAGTGATATTAGAGAATAAAATATGTGTGTGTATTAAGTGATTAGATATTTCTTATACATATCTTGAAAGTGATGAGAACCTGTGTAGGTGGTTGGAGATTAAATATAATAGTGTGAGTTAGTTTTATAGAAATTTCTAGTACCCCGTAGTTCTTTGCAAGTGAGATTATTAATGAAACATTAATATTTTCCCATACAAACAACAAAATCATGTCAAACCCTTTGTCTTTTATTAAACATTTATATAGAATGTAACTTCTCTGGCATGACAGAGCAGGTGTTAATACATTTTTAAGACAATTTGATATCAAATATTGACGGCAGTCGAATACAGTATAGGACATCTTGTCATGTCACTAGCAGCATACAGCAATGATCCTTTACCTAGCTACTATAAATTAATAAGACAATCCTAAGCGACCCCAACACTTCCCTTAATCATGTTGATATTGATACACGCAGGGTACCTAAAGTAGATACACCATTCCTTGTGGTTATCAACATTTTGTTAGAACTCTCAGCTTCCTGCCTTTTGATCTCCAGTACTTGTATACATTAATATTTTATTTGGTTATATGACTATTTTCGATTAGTCCTATGAAAGTTTAGAGCAGACGCATTGTTTGTGTCAAAGAACACAAAGTGTTTTTCTCATGGTAAATATAACCATGTGTTAACAATGTATTTATGTAATTATTTTGTTGTCTTCGATATTATTGTCATGTATTGGGTTGTTTTTGTGTTGTATGTAAATTTTAAATTAAAAAGCATTGTTGTGCTGTTACCATGTTAAATATTTGTTCTGATTTTGTAAAAATTAATTTTAAAATTGCATGAGTAAAGGGGTTAAATTCCAAACTAGACTTAATAAAAATGTTATATTTGTCTTTTTGCCATTGGCCAGAAAACTTCAAATGTCACAAGATGATATTGCTGTTTCTTCAATTATTTACTATCCTTCAAAGATTGCATACAAGCTGAACTACACTGTACTTCTTCTGAAAACTTAGCATAAGGAAAAAAATCCCTTAGTACCCGTATGTCAGGAGGGTGAGCTAAAAAAAAGTTCAGCTTTGTAAACATGGTAAACAATATATTTTTATATGAAACATCAATGTATTTTAACATGGTCTTCTATTCAAGGTCATATTTTATAGTCTACCACATACTATGTATGTGAATGTATTTTTATCGATAAGATAATCATTAGCTTCTTTAGTAAATTTTCCTGTTTTGGAGATATCTTAAAGTTTTGATCAGATCATCAAGGGATTTTTAGGTACAGAAAAAAAACTCAGATGTTTGTGTCTTTGTGTTTTCTAGGTGTTAGTATATAAATATATATATGAATTTTTAAAACAGTCTAAATCCTATTTATTACAGAGAGGGGGAAATAAGTCAGGGTCAGGTGTTCTTAGCTGCTGGACAGTGATTTCCTTTAAATTTATTCTTTTTTACCAAAGACCATGTGATTTCTAATGTTTATTTATTAAATCTTTTGTAAAACATTGATATCATATAACCATCTTGCATTACACATTTGTTCGTCATTCCATTGTTATTTGTTGTTATCAATGAATTTTGAATAAAATATTTTAAAACACTAAGCAACAACTTTTTGATATTTGTTAGATACATGTTTGTTGTTCGGCATTACAGAATCACATAATGTTAGGAGTTTCATGTATTCACTGTGTAATATTGTGACAGGTGTGCACACTACAGCTATTTCCTTTGGTATAACTGATTGTCACCACTCGCGGGGGTTTCCGCCGCCGTTTACAACCACACACCACAAACAGCAACGCTTCCCGGAAACGAGTCCCACTCCAGCTGTATAGGTAGAAGTTAACACACCTATTGACGTACAGCAAGTAAAACGACATGGACGATATAAATCTCTTCCAGTCTCTTTCACCGCTGGACGCGTCCAGAAGTACCGTGTTGGAATCTATCGTGGTGAAGATCGAGAACGGTAGCGTACAGACTATGACGGTGAAGGAGTCCACCAACAGCATGGTGGCCACCTGCCTCTTACGGGAGGCGGGTTTTGTTTTGACAGTCTCCGGCAGGCACTCGTTGGATTTGTAAATTGAACAGTTCTGCTGTTCTTGTCTGATCCTGTCTGAAATCTTGATATGCCTGATGATGATTATATTGCTGATGATTATAGCTGTAAACGATACAAGAAGAAATACGTTGTGAATCCATGGCCAGACGAACTTCCAGAAAATCTTCAGATTTTCCGAGTCGAGATAAACGTAACATAAGCGATCCGATTCATTCAGAGCATAGGTATCGGATGTGAACAGGAAGTTAACGTCTTTAAGGAACACGAAGATGAAAACCAAGATGGTCACCCGTTTTGCTCGCTTTAGTGTGCACCAAGAGGACGATTTCAGAGGGAATGTTATCGCTAGTCCTCTCTCCAGGGTCATTGCTGTCGTTAATAGAACACCGGAGTCACTGCTCACCCAGCCGAAAAAATGGAAGAATTTACACATGTAGTGAGAATGTTCTCCTCTGTAGATGGTTGACGGGTAATTTAAATTCAACCAATCGACGGTCAGGAGACTAGCCAAACTGAATGTATCCACGAGAGCATTGGCTATCATGTAGAATGACGTCGATAGAGAGCGGAAGTAGACGCTCCTCATTACAAGAACAACCAGCACATTGCAGACGACACCTGTCACTATAAGAAATGGCGGGAAATAAAGATCCAGTCCATCCGTGATACGACATAGAATTGATTTTTCTGAATCGTGAACCATTGCTGAGTATTCGAGGTTTGATTGCAAAGGTCATCTACAACAGAAACTTTACATTACTTGAGTTCTATTTCTTTATTAGTTAAGAGACAAAAGGCTTTTCCAAAATTACCCCCATCCGAATGATCCGATCCTATCGCACTCCCCAGCTCCTAAGCCATCCAGTTATATTATGGTCAGTAATATCTGTACATTTTTTAAAACTTGTCCACAGGAAAAAAAATTTAGCGAAATCTAGCAGCAAGCAAAGCTGAGATGATATATTACACTATGAAGTTCTTTGTGACAGGGATCTGCGTACGCCAATTATAATGATGATGATATAGAAATGTACACGGAATTGAAACAAGATTTGTTGGTGAAACACTGATGCCCCCGTATGACAGCTTATGGATGAAGGTTTAAGTTTCTCAAATGTAAGTCTAACTACAAAGTCCAAAGAAATGTTGTTACCCAAAAATAAGGACTTGTCTCAGTGAATACATTTTTGAAATATGAAAACCCAGTTATCTGCCATTCAAAAGTTATGACCAAGGTTAAAGTTTTATACAAGTGGGTGAAATTCCAAGGTCAAGGCTAAAGGGTCAAAATTAACAGTACACAGAGGAAGGCCATGTCATAAGAAATATTCGTGTGAAATATAATTTAAAAGCACAGCATTTACTTATCAAAATTTATGACCAAGGTTAAAGTTGAAATAAAAGTAGGCCAAACTTCAAGGTCAAAATTGTTGGTTTTCAGAGTAAGATCTGGTCACAAGAAATACATCTACGAAATATGAAAGCTCTAGTACTAACTGTGCAAAAATTATAGCCAAGGTTAATTTTTTTATATAAAGTTTGTCAATACTCCTTCGTGAAAAGGCCAAGAAAATACGTGTATAGTTTTGTCTCAGTGAATATGCACTCTAAGCATAAAGGCCATTGCACCAAATATTCAAAAATTATAGCCAAGATTAATTTTTTTTTTATATAAAGTTTGTCAAACTCCTTAGTGAAAAAGCCAAGAAAATACGTGTATATTCATGGGAAAGTTTTATCTCAGTGAATACACACGCGAAGCATAAAGGCCATTGCACCAAATATTCAAAAGTTTTAGCCAAGAAATATATAATTGCAGACGTGGGACAATCGACGAGGTCAATGTCAAGAGGTCAACTGCATTTGTTAGATTTGGAGATTTTACATTGACCACGGCCAAATCATATCGCTGAACGATTACGCATCGCCTGAATTTGCAAAATAGCTAAACTTTGTTTTACAGATCAAAAGAAAGACATTGCAAAAGATAAAACATGGTTAATTTGCACTCCGTCAATGTCAGTGTTCGCTGATTCTGTTTTGACTGATTTTTGGCCGGGCTTATTGCTCAAAGAGCAATTGCCGCCTTATGTGATCCTGTTCAAGGCAGGAAGTCAACCCCATAGTCGCCATTTTAAAGTTACGTACAAAAATATAGTTCTTACTCTCAACTGCTTTTGAGATAATACAAACGCTAAATAAAGCAACAAAAATAAAACGAAGTTTTATCTATATAAATTAACATTAGTAGTAATGACTTTGAAAACTTCAGTCCTAAGTCAAAGAACATAGTTCATTAGCGTAAGGATTTTTGATCGTAGTTCTCTACACATACGAGGTAAAGCAGGAGAGGGAACCAGACTGGCCTGTTTGTTTACATTCAGCTGCGGTACCAGATGAATTCTGATTCTGACAAAATAGGACCGTGGTATAAGGATTGAAAAACTCATTGTCAGTGTCTTATCATTTATATTGATAGTTTTAAAATAATTTTTCATCAGAATATAAACGTGATTCATGTAAGAAATTCATTCTTCTCTGTAAATGAGCTCGGCTCTCTGTACTTCTAAGTACTTTGATTTGGATTTTGTTTGCAAATAACAATTTTCAGACAATGACCTTGACTGAAGGAACGAAAGAAAAATAGGACGAGTCCAGACAACAGCAACAAGATGGAAAACGAACAAGTTATTTGTTTATATTTTTAGATAAAAATCTACAAGAAGTTACGCAAGGAAATATATAATACACGACCATATTTCAAAAAAGAAACTGAAATAAATTGTAAAACCAGAATACAAGTAATTTCCTTTCCTGATTGAAATAAAACTACACAATGCTCAAAAATAAAATCAAAATTAATAATTACATGTACTTTTCTGCCTACCTTCGGCGGTTTTATTTGAGATATCCATATGATCGATAAGTACAAAGATCTTTAAAAACAATCTTACACTCGCGTGGAACCTAGCATTTTCGTGAAATTTATTATACATTTCCATTTTCTATGATCCTAGATGAGATTGGTTTAATTGTGACCTGGATTGGTCCACAATTTGAAAATTAATATTAATTATTAATTAAGAAAATTTCCATCTTCACTTCAGTTTTATGTTTATAAAATACAATTGCCTGGTATTTTTTCCCAGGTAACTTGTTTTTCGGAAATATCCACTAGTTGCCCCCCCCCCTTCCCGAGGTAGGATGGGCCCACATAAGGGGATCAGTTTTATTTATAGTTAAGAAATCGGGGGAAAAGCTACAAACTATTATTACTTTGAGAAACCCAAACTATAATAAAGATGTATATTGAAAATGAAAATCTTACTCTAAAATGATGCACGTCAAACCGTTAAGCCATCTTGTTCATGAATACGGGAAACGATTTACGACGTCGTACCTTTCCTGTTAATACGGGGTGTTTAAAGTCATTAAATAAGAGAATTTATCCTCCGAGGGCATTGTCCACGATAACGAGATTTATAATTATATACTCGTGGATGAAAGTCCTCGGGTACAGGACAGTCTTTGTCCTTGGTCGTGCTGGTTATGTCTGTTTTCGTGAACATTAGGTAAACTGAAAAAAAGACGTGTTCTAAAATTAAAGTCCTTTCAAGAAATAGCTACAATGAATATAGTCTTTATTATAATTAATCACAGGAAATTAGTTTTTCATTCTTCCCAAAGTACGCCTACCTATGTCTATTATATATCCACGATTCTAAAAGTTTGTGTAAAAACAGAGACAAGGAAATCCCCCTATACTAGTATACAGAGTTACAAATAATTACTCGGCGTAAAGGAGGCCATATGCTTTTCAAACATTTATATTAAGGAAAAATTATGATCATATCTATAACAAGGTTAAAATGAATGAATTATGATTATTGAACAACACTTGACGAGCGGATCACGAGAAAAGAACTGGAAACTGTGAACGAAACTTCAAAGTATCAATACACGTAATGTGATGTCAGTTACGAGACACTGAACTCTGTTTAAGATTGTGTGTATGTCTGTGTTATAAATAAACTGAGATTTAAAACTATTGGATTTTTTTTCCTATTTCATTTTCAAAAAGAGGGCTATATTCATTTTTCGATAGATTTAAGTTTCCCACTGGTTGTCCTATGGGAGGTCTACATGGGACGTTTTCTCCTCCGCTGGTTGCCCTATGGAGGTCTACCTGGGACGTTTTCTCCTCCGCTGGTTGCCCTATGGAGGTCTACCTGGGACGTTTTCTCCTCCGCTGGTTGCCCTATGGAGGTCTACATGGGACGTTTTCTCCTCCGCTGGTTGCCCTATGGGAGGTCTACATGGGACGTTTTCTCCTCCGCTGGTTGCCCTATGGAGGTCTACCTGGGACGTTTTCTCCTCCGCTGGTTGCCCTATGGGAGGTCTACATGGGACGTTTTCTCCTCCAACGCACCTGATCTCACCCCTGGGATTTCCGAGGGACCCTGTTTATGCTCTGTTCATAGATTTGTATCTCAAAATTTTAAATACCAAACAAATTTTATCAATGATTTTGGAAACATTTGTTTGCACTGTTTTATACGAGTTAAAAGAAATATTCAGTCAAGAACAATCAATTTGAAAGGTTAATAGTTTTTATGAAATCGATCTCGGTAACCACCTTTTTCAGGTCAACAACACATGTGTGTACGATTCCTTCACTATTCATCCAAATTATACTTGTACTAGGAGACGTGAGGTGTCAGATACATACGTGTTAAAAGTTGTTTCTGTAACCTACAACATTACCTATAGAATTATCACTAAGCCTTTTACTTCAATTGATTGTAAAATTTTGCAAAATCAATGATTTTGTATAAAATTGCTAGCGTTAATGTATCCATTTACGTACCTTTTAAAAACGATTAAAACCCGTAGTCGTTAGTTCTTTTGTAAAATGGACCCCTGGTCCGAAGCAATGGTACTAAAACCAGCTGTAGAGGGGCAACCCCCCCCCCCCCACCATGTGACAAAAAATAACTGACTTTATCCTGGAATTTGCCAGTGTGTGACCTTGCAGCAACGAAAAGAGGTGGAGATAGTTTTTATAGGAAATGGAAGTTGAAAGAAGATTTTTAATTTCTGAATATTATTTTCTCTGTTCACAAAAAAATGTAGATATAAATGCCGTTGTAGTAAAGCATAAGTTACTAGTTTTACTAGCATTCTAGTAAAGTGTAAGGTAGCATAATAAAATGCAGGATCTCTTAAGGGCTGAAACCAGTAATCTTACTGGATAATTTCACAACATTTTACCGTTCACGGTAGCCTAGTGGAAGAGCGTTCGCTTCGTGATCGGGAGGCCCGGGTTCGATTCTCGTTCGCAGCGCCGCGTCAAACCTAAGACTAAAAATAGGTAGTGACTGTTCCTTCGCCAAGCGCTCCGCATCAGAAGTGAAATTCACGGGTCTCTCGGATATGACCTTTAAAACGTAGGTCCCGTGTCATGGTAGGCGCTGGCGTGATAAAGAACCCTCACTGCTCAATGGCCCTGAGTGCCGAGTATAGGTCTAAATTTGAAGCCCTTCACCGGCATAAGGTGACGTCTCTATATGAGTGAAAATTCTCAAGAGGGAGTTAAACAATATACAATCAATCAATCAATCAAAAGATTTTATTCATATATATATACTGGTATATATGTCTATATACAGTACTGTACAAAAGTACACAACAAATTAAAAGCGAATGCCAAGCAATAACTACTATATACTTTAAAAAAAAACATGCATATCCTAAAATGTTCCTTCATAAAATTTCAAAAGTACATGTACATACTTGTATATGTGTATATGTATAGGTTTTTTCTTTCTAAATTAAAAATGTTCAGTTTAAAAGTGGTTTGTATTTTCAACAACTGCAGACTCTAAATAAATCAACACAGTCTTACAACTTATGAATCGTGAAATTTACAATAAAGTTTAACTGTCCTGCAATTAAACATTTCTATGGCACCAATACACAAATCATAGAATTCCAAACTTAAAACACTGTTACATAGATTTCTTACACAAGTTGGCTTTTACACAAACATGAAACTGAACATCATATTTCATTTATCATTCAACCATTTGCTTGAAAACAACTATCAGAACTATGAATTGAGTAAGAATCCAAAATTGAAATATCCTGGGCTTCTGACCTATATAAGGAATAATTTGAAAGGTGTGAATTTTAAGGCTTTGATGGCTTTAAGGTGAGGGCATACACTTGAGTCTGTTGAACGCCTCTTTCTCTAACCACTCCCTGTGATTAGGGTGCGCGATGTTAATTAATGCATAGGCTCTCTGGCGGAGGTTCTTCCCAAACAAGTAGGCGATGCCGTACTCCGTGACGATGTAGTGAACGTGAGCTCGCGTCGTCACCACACCAGATCCTAAAATAAACATTGACTACATTACAACCAAGCAAATGTAGGATTACATAAAGAGTCCTATACAGTGGATGAAAGGCTTGGGTATCTTTCTCATTGTGGAGCTTTACAACTTGTATAGAATAATAAATATGCAGAACTTATACAAAATTATTCATATTCTGAAAACTGCTCTACAAAATCATTTTATTGAAGATGAAAGTAAAATTTTTTTCTTCTTACCACTCTTTAGTATGGGAACCAGTTTACTCTCCCCTCTCTTTGTTGCTGAAGGCATCGCAATGATGGCTTTTCCCTCGCCATCTAAACTAATGGCTGCCCCGCGTATAAAGTCTATCTGACCCCCGAACCCTGAGTAAAGTCTCTCTCCAATAGAATCCGCACACACCTGACCAGTCAGGTCAACCTCAATACACGAATTAATGGCCGTCATTCGGGGATTCTGACAAATTATGGCTACATTGTTGGTGAATTCCACATCTCTCATCTCTAAAAACAAGATAATCAAAGTATCACACCTGGCTTCTATAAGAATGTTCCTACACTTCTACTGTGATGTGTCCAGGCAGTCAACTAATGTTTTCTACAAGTGTTTAATGTTTTAAGGTACATTGATACTCTGGTAAGAGAGATAACTCTTAATAACATAAATTTCTATTATTCCTTTATATATTTGTCAAGTTGAACTGCCTTTTTTTGTCCAATTTTGCCCCACAAGCTATGCTATATTTGTTTGTATTTTACTTATTATATATATTTCTTTTGGAAAATCATATAAGTTAAAGAAAAATTTTATATGAGTGAGCAGAGGATTTATGAACCTTAATGTTTCTTACAGACGAAGCGTCACAGTAACTAACCTACGGAGGGATTGTCGTTGAGGAAGTTGTAGAGGATTTTGGTTCCGATGGAGAAGCTACTGACCAGTCGACCCGTCAGTATGGACTTCTCGGAGTTTGTGATGACCCCCTTCTCCACTAGCTCCACCACCCCGTCACTGAACATCTCCGAATGGACCCCCAGATTCTTATGATGACCCAGCTGTGATAGTACTGCATCAGGAATGGCTCCTATACCTGTTAAACATCAGTTATTAACAGTATATATACATTCTCACTCTGGTAACTTATTTCTCAATGCAATATGAATGCTGGTGCTCTTTGGTTTCAAATCGGAGTTTTTATCTTGGGTATTTCACTGTTTCCATGGATTAAATATGGAAACAACTCAAAATACAATTAACATTTGTTGACACACAACTTTTTAGCTATTAAATTATCAAAAACTACTAAAAAATCTAAAACAATTTAGTCTTGCCCATTGGTCATAATCCTCACCTTAGTAATTATCCTTTTTGACAAATGGATTCTCTTAGTTAAATAAACACACTACAGGGCCGAGTTACAGATACTGAGATCAAATATAGACATCATTTCACAATACCTTGTTTTGGTAAGAGAGTCGTATAAAATTTAAAATCGAGACAAAATTTTCATGAATTCCAATAATTCTTATATTTAATCTTTAATAAAAATAGTATCAAATTTTTGGTTCAACAGCAGAATGTCTACTATAATTACCAAATAACAGAGGTCTAACCAATAAAAGTGACTGACTAATCTGTTACCCATTTGTAATGTCGCCCCGTCTACCACTAAGTTTTCCGCGATCAGTTTGCCGATTTTCTCTTCCTCCTCTGATAACGCTCCTCTCCGGAGTTCATTTAGCGGCTCGCTGTGCTCCACCATGGCGTCAATGTGAGACTGATGAATCACACCGTCACCAAATGTCCGGGGCATATGTTCATTAACCATGGCTGAAATTAACAAAAAATTCCCCAGTTAAATTACTGGTTTTACTTTCCTAAATACTGTATAAACAGAATTTTTTGTACAGATTTAATTTAAGCATTAATAGTAAAGGTGCTGAATTTGCTAAAATTGAATATCACTTATCGATAATTGTGTTTAATTTGTAAAGCATCATAAGTGAGCATTTCTAAATAACTAAAATCACATCTCTCTTAAAATACAAATTTTAAGGAGAAATGGCTTAATTTGCATCTCCCTAAAATTTTCACTAATTCGGTATTCTACATCAATAAATAATTTGTTATATGTTTTCTGTGAACCTTGACTTGGCCCCTGGGCTCAAGGTATTGGTTAGAAAAATTCATGTTAGCCTTTTATCATGCGTAAGTAATTATTTTGTGTCCATGTTACGGGTGAGCTAAATTTCTTTAGACATGCCTTTATTCCATACCTATGATGTATCGTGCGTTCTGTATTGCTGATCTGGTACAGTCCACACTGGTGCCTAGTGAGCAGAATCCATGTTTATCGGGTGGTGCCACAGTGACAAGCGCCACATCGATATCGATGATGCGGCGCCTGAACAGGTGGGGAATCTCACACAGGAAGATAGGGATGGTGTCCGCCCTCCCCTCGTTGACCGCTTTTCTGGCATTAGCTCCAAGAAACAGGGAGTTCGATCTAAAGATGCCTGTAAAACAGAGTTACGAAGTAAGGATTTTGTCCTTAGCTAAACACACAGGTTTGAAATCACGGATTTTGAGACCAGTCTTTCAGATGACACTGTTTAAAACAACGTATCATGTCACAGTAGATAAAAGATTTCCTACTGCTTACAGTCTGTAAGTGTCGAGCATAAGGCTAAACATGCAGCCCTCACTCCTAAGCAAGTGTTGGCATCTCAAAATGAGGATGTTAAACAAACAATATTAACTCTGCATTCTCTACCTTCGTATTCTGGGTTGTTGTAGGTGCCCGGCCCCTCTGTATGAATATGCATGATTTCCACGTTTCTGAGCCCTGCTTTCTTCCCGTGCTCTGTCATGGCTTCCACGAGTTTGACTGGGGTGGCTGCTGCTCCATGGATGTACACACGACTGTCTGTCAAAATATTTACAAAAAGTCTGTCAAAATATTTACAAAAAGTATTTCACTTATGTTGGTTTTATATCAATGTTCTCTTGTGTATCTGCAAATAGAAACAAACAGTGGTCTGACCAGACCACAGGGGCGATGTATCTTATTCCCTGTTTCTCTATAACACATCAAAATAAATTTATAGAGAACGGAGCAAATAAGATGCCTTTTCTACTTTTCATGGTCATCGTCTTCAAATTTATTTGATAGAAAGTTGCAATCAGTAGATCTATATTGTTTCCCCCCAAAAAAGACTTTTATGAAGCCTTCTGCAACTCTGGAACCCAGTTCCAAGCAAAACCTTTAATTACTTTGAACTGCATTAGCATTTCTCCTTCGAGTTTGTTTGTGGGAATCTCTTCAGAATCTGCCTACATTTCTCTGCAATCAAATATTTTATCTATACATGATATAAAATGTGTAGCCTATGAAAAAAAGAAGCTATAGTAGCCAATTCGGCAAATGAATGTTAGCTGGCTGACAAAAGGTTGCAGGGCCTAGTTTTACCGTACCCGACTGTATCACTTGGACAGCCTCCTCGGCGCTTTTATACTCCGGAACTCTGTCGTATAACGGATGGAAAGGCTCAGGGGAATACAGATAAAAAGCTCTTTTGATGCATGCATTTACAGATCGTCCAACCGCTGTTCTTTTACGAAAAATATTCATCTTTGCAGTACTAAACTTTACAGCGTATGAACATTCTCGAGGTCCTTCCGAATAATTTTGGCGACCTTGAACGATCACACTGGCGCGGATCCACACATTTGTTTTATAATAGATGTTTGAATTTTCATACAGTATCGAAGATAACACATTATCGAAGATAATCTACGATGATTATGAGGTCATAAAGTTTAACATTTCATCAATGAAGCACAACGCTCACCTGAGTCACTTTTAGCTTCTGTTCCTCGGCATTTTTTTTATTTCAATGTAGAATCCCCCCCCCCCCCCCAAAAGGTCCATATCTTGTAATACCGAAACCCTGTTTTGCTCTTTTTAGAATGTTGAAAATTGGACCCCCCCCCCGAAAAAGGATGTAGGATTTTTGGAAATCCCTCATCCCCCCCCCCCCCCCCCCCCCATTGCTTGACAAGTTTTTCCAGGCAAGTTGAAAATGATTTTCTCGGGCTGCCCCACCCCCCTTTCCTCATTTAAAAAACGATGTTACGTCACTGATTATAACGCAAATAAACACGAATTCGATTCTTTCGCGAAAACAACTGCGTTACTTTCGTGTTATAGCGCACAATTAAAACTTTCGCGAAACTTTAACCCGTTACTTTCACTTCACAACGCGATAATGCATAGTTACGTTTTACAGGAACCTTTGACCTTGACTGTCAGATAAGAAACAATTTTCAATTCTTTGATTTTATAAATGACATAAGTCACATATTGCATACAGATACAACCAAAAGCTTTAAACATTGAACCAATATCAATCAATTTATGCATAATTATAGCATCAGTGAGTAAAAAGGGGAAAAAAACTCCAGTGAATTTCGTGCTTTTTGTTCCCTCAGGCTTGAGCGTGGGACTTAAATTAGTGTAAAATTAGTGTAATCTCAAAAAAAAAAAAAAAAAAAAAAAAAAAAAAAATAAAGGTACTGTGAACAATGAGCTCACTAAATGACACCCCCGCCTACCAAATGAATATAATGGGAATGTAAATGTTTTGTTGTGGAAAACCCAAAATATGTGTATCAAAACGTAAAATAAGAGGCGCACATTGGCAATATGTAATAAAGATTCTGTGAAAGTTTCATCAGATTTCATTCAGTGGTATGAGAGGAGTTGCGGATAAGAGATGGGTGCCCCAAAGTGCAACAGATAGACGGACGGACATACAACTAGACGGACGGACGGACATAACGATTGCCGCTTTTCATGAGATCAAGCGGGGGGGGGGGGGGGGGGGGGGGCTATAATTATTCTTTACTCCTGGACATCCAGCACTAAAACATTTGGTATTGAGCCCCCTAAAAAATCGTTAATTTTATGACCCCAAAGTCAGGGATTCAAGGGAGAGGGTAGGGATCTTTTAGTATATATATATATAGTGAAAATGCACAAGATTTTCATAAATCTTTTTTCCTTATATTTAAAAGACAAATCAAGTGTATAAATGCGAAACATGGAGATAAGAAAGATACTGAGTATTCAAGCTCAAGGTCCTTACAAACAGTGCAAATCAGAGGCAGAACAAACACGGACCTCCACAAACTTCAGAGTTGGGATCAGGTGCCATGGAGAAGTAAGGTTCCACTGACGACCGGCTATACCCGCCATGTACATGTACTCCTTGTTATGATCGGGAAAATGGAAAAATCCGTAGAAATTTCAGTGCGTAAAATAATGGCTTAACAATCTGTACGAAAAACGATAGTCACTATTTTACCTTATCATAGATTGTGTTTGCTGACAAGGTCATTGTATCGAATGTAGCGAAATGATGATTTTTCAACGAGACGGGTTATATCGTTGTTTCATCACTTTATTTAAGAAATAAATAACAAGTTTATAAACTTCAATGGGAATTGAAGTGGGTCGGTCACGTGATCAAATCCTGTGAAGGCCGAAGGCCTTCTCAGAAGATTTGATCACGTACCGACCCACTTCAATTCCCATTGAGCCCCGCCTTCTTCCCGTGCTCTGTCAAGTTTATAAACTTGTTATTTATTACTTATATATACATTTGAGACTGACAATTGAATATTTTCGAATTTAAATTATTGCAATAACCGTCCGTCGTAGATTTTGAAAAATGACGCAAGATGTAAATCGGCTTGCATGGCGGTTACGCTTCGAATTCATTAGGCTAAGGAATCTATTTCGAAGGGAATATTTTGTGAAAGGCTACTTGTGATCAGTAATAGTGAACAGATTGTTGTCTGGGAATATTTTATTCGTGAAAAATGATAATCGATGCTGAAAAGACACAAGAAACACGTCCGAAGTTTGATGAAAAAAGTTGGAGTAATTTCGGTCGCTGGAAAGGGATGGATGGATCCGATGGATTGAGACACTTGTCCGAGCCAGTTAATTTGCAAATTGATCAAAAACATTCCACGGTTTCAGTAACTAAAGGCATACTTATTGTAAAACACTGATAAACACGGAGACACTGGCGACAGCTTTACATTGAAAGTAACCTGTTCTACGAAAACGCCGAGGTGTTTGGCAGCTGTTCATGGCATGATTGCAAAGATATTTTCCAACAGATTTACACATTTATCGTGAGTAAAATTTAAAGATAAAATAAAAGTTTATCCTGAAAATTTAACCAAAGGTCTATCCAAAAAATAAGGATGAACATTAGAGACTGTGCAGCTGACAAAAGTGAAGAAAAATGTAAACAAACGCTAGGCTCCTAGTTTTCTCTACATGTATGTACACAGGTTGAATCGATAGCCCCAAAACTGTATGAAATACTTATTTACATTTAAAATAAAATAGCTATCATTTTACTTGCTTATTTTATTCATTTTTATACATGAAAAGCAAGTAGAGCAGGTCATTTTATAATTTATGTACCGGTAGATATTATTGCGCCGTGTGATTAGGTCACGTATTGACCTCTGACCTCTGACAAACTTCATACAGAATTGAAGATATTTTCTCTCTGTATGTTTATATAATAGAGAGATACCACAAATGTATATATTTGTCAATATCTTGCCTTGATTTAGAATGAGTTCTTTCGTAGAGTATTCTCTTGCGTATCGAAATCAATTGAAAGATGTCATTTCCATGCACTTGCAGATGATAATGGTATTACTGTTACATAAGTAATGGAAGCATGAAGTTATCACATCTATCATAAAGCTTTAGTGTAAGTTTACTACCATTAATGTCTTTTCCTTGTAAAATATTCAGATAACAAACAGATGTGTCAGACTCTGTGGTATCTTTTATATTAAGGTCACTGGGATGTATTAAGTTGACATATGAATGTGACCATTGTTAACTGCGGTAAGTGTTTTCTTCTTCTCATATAGAATTTTTCGAAAAAAAAGTCTGCTTCATTTGAATACAAAAATAGGTCTGCTAATATAAGGCGCAGTTATTACCTTGTGAATTCCCACAGATTGCTGGAAGAACCTGACCTCCAAAACGTACATAGTTATTGTTATTCAGAAACTCAAGCATCTTTTTTAGTATCAACTTGGAGAAAAGCAGCTGTCCATGGTGTCAAACACTTAGATTTTAATTTATCATGGATAGTGTTGAAAGCCACATTTTAATGTTATTGGTTTTGGTAAAATTATTGTGATTTCAAATTGTCTAAGTTTCTTGGAGTTTTAAGTTTCCACATCTGATTTACAATTCTTCTCGAATAAACTTTTGCTCAATATTCCTGAATTTTCTTTTTCACTGCTGATAATATTTTAGTGAAGAGCAAAGAATGATGCTTGGTGGAATATATTAATTCAAATTCATTGTGATCGTTGGTTATTTGAAAAATATACATCTGTATGATACATGGTTTTGAAGAAAGGGGGATGTGGAAATAAGTTGAAATGCCATTTGCAATCTTAAATTCCTGTTCCTCTAAAAATACAATTCAATAAGCTTAACAAAGACAATGTTGTTACCTGCTTTGTCTGCAGGGACCAGTAAGTACTGATCGTGTAATCTATCTAATTTTTGTTCACTTCTGCATTGTGGAAGACAGAAGAAAGATAGGTTTTTATATTGTCAATATTTGCAATATGAAAACTATCTTTCCCTCTGTATTCAATAACCCAGAAGTGAAAAAAAGAATTGAGGGATTACATGATCAGTACGTACTGGTCCTTGCTAACAAAGCAGGTAACAACATTGTCTTCCTTTGTAAGGCCCATTATACAAATTGTATTTTTGAAAAACTTGGATTTTATTCTAAAAGTGGTAATACAACTAATACACATTGTTCCCTTTCACAGGAAAAAATTCTTCAAAATCATATATCAGTTTTGAATATTTTCAATATCCCAAACAACCAAAATGAATTTGATATTTATATTGGATTCCGAAATTAACTTCATAAGAATCCTTAGGAACAAAGATACATAGCAGGTTCCAGAAAATGTTCAACCAAGCCTCTTTCATTACTCCTCACTTAAATATTAACAATAGTAAAGGAGAAACTTCAAGAGTACAGCGCAACTTAATATATTCGAGAAGTGGTGTGAATCAGATGTGGATACTTAAGGTAGGATTCTTCTCATATTTCTAATATTTAAAAATTAATGAAATTTTCACAGAATCAAGAAGACAATATCAGTAAGTGATAGTATCAGTGATATTAAATTTGACCGTTTTATAGTAGAAGCAAGGTCATGTCAAGGTCATTATCTTTTTCCTTGACATTAAGAATAAAAAAATACTGTTGCCAATCATGTGATACCTACTTCTATTTCAAAAGTTTAAAGATTCTTCTTTTTGCATAAAAACATATTACTATATCGGGTCTATAGCATGATATTACCAAATTTACATAAATAATTTAACTAAACTGGATATTGGCTAATCCGAATTTTCTCTTTTTTTCTTAATTTTTTAGGATATATAAGTTATTTTCATATGCTTCCTATATACTTTTTCTTATTTTCACATATAATAAAGTAGTCTTATAAATGTACAAAATGATACAAAAACAAAAAGTTTTGATCGTTTACTAAGAGAGAAAAAATACTTTTTATGGATTTTTGGCTCAAATCTGCACTTTGATAGGAAGCATTTAAA